CCAAGAGTCTGAACCTGAGCTTCGCGTTGGGCTCGGATCTGGGCTTGGTAGAAATCGGATTGCAATCGGGTTTTAAGCACATCGAGAGGAGCTGTTATCGCAGCAGCAGTCATTCCACCAACACTAGAAGTTGCCATAAGTCAGTCTTACAGTTCTCCAAGAGTCAATCTTGCGGCGAGCGAGCTACATGGCAAGTCCCGCAGTAACGAAGAGAACTTTTACGTACCCTCCAGCGAACATGTGCACCCAAGATTTGGCAAAGGGCAACGCCTTGACGTTGCCCTGAATAGGCGTATCGTCGGGAAGGACATCGCCAGTCTCCCTTGACTGAATGAGTGCTGAGTGATCGATTGGCGAATGCGTATGGTTGAAGGGTTTCTCGTCGTCACTAGTCATGATTGGCGATGAAGTTTGGTGATGCGACATGGTAAGAAGTAATTTGGTCCCAAAACAGTAAGAAGTTTCAGACCCTGGACAGTGATTGTTCTATCGGCTTTCCTTGTTTTCAGGTCGCTACGTCGTCAAATAGTCGTCTCTACGCGGGAACACCGGTTGATGTACCAAGCCTAAGGCAGCTCGTCTGTCGTTTAATAAAAGAGCATATAAGACAAAAGCATCGATTGGGCGTAGGAGAGGGTGAATCCTCAGGGATAAAGAGAAGGAATGCTCTGCCTCTCTTTATTGATCGAAAAAAAAGATGGAGAATCTTTTCATGAATCAGCGAAGCGGTCGGTAGGATCAAGTCCAGTCAATCGCCTCCCGCAGGTAAACGAGCGACGACCAAAACTTTTTTTCTATGACTACTACTGGACGCGCCTCAGTCTGCAAAGTGGCGCTGTGGCGGGTCTATGGAGTATACTTTCAGTCTGCCTTAATTGTGGGGCATGAAGATTCGGTATTAATGAGTCCACGCCGATATCAGAGTCTCGAGTTGCAGTGTATCTTCAACCCAGAACAAGATGGAGTATAAGTCAAACAGCACATATGTTTGATATAGCTCTATATTCATTGCGTTCGTCGCATATTGCCACTTCCCGGTACATGGCCCCCACCGCTCTCCTGCCCTCGCCAGGCAGGACCTCTTCGTTTATGCATAAAACGCCAAAGGGGCTATTCTAACTAGACGGTATCAGCTGGGTGACGGATTTAACGAACCATCACCACTTCTGTACGTACTATTCGAGGCTATCGTCAGCGAACTTGTCGCACCTGCAGCGCTCGTCCCGGTTTGCAGGGTTTCGACCGAGTGATTGCTATGGTCCGATCTAGCTGTTTGGCTCATCCCGAATGGGAGTCGATGTCGTTCAGCACTCAGGTCGAAGCGATGCATCGATGCGGTTGAGGGCTCCATTGTGCTAGGTAAATGTCCGTTGTCCCTACTGGGCGGCCTTGACCCTTCATCTGTCCCGTATGTCCCCGGTGTTCTTTCTCCTGGAGTCTTGGCGGCGTCTTGTCGATCTCCAACTCGATTGGAAAGCCCGTCCTTAGGATCCAGTGTCTCGGTACTCGGTCCAGTGTCGGATTGTCCATCAACATCCATCTCATCCCTAAGTCCCATCTCTCTTTTGAGCTGTCGAACCTCTTCGTCTGTGACTGTCTTCCAGCTACACTTAGCATGCTTCTTAGTACATCCTGAACATGCCGTCAGGTGCTTGACACACTCTACCCGTAATCTTCGACACCGATCACAGGGTGGTGTAATGACATCCCCCTTGCCTAGCTGATCAGTTCTTTGTGCGATCAAGGGTCGGAAAGCCGCCTCGCGACTATCGATTGCAGGTTGCACTATCGTTTCCACGGCATGACCATATCGTGACCCATGTGTTTGAGACTGAGCTGTGCTGTGAGATGGTGATGGCTGACCTAGTGCAGTTATAGGAATCCCTGTAACAGATGTTGACCGTGATGGGGGTGGTGACGCTGAAGCTGTGAGGAACTGCTGCAACAAATCTGCATGCAAATCGTAACCAGCACTGAAAGTAGTGGCTGTCCGTTGGGAAGCGTTACTCGCTGTATTGTTCGCTGACTGATATCGCGACGGCGATGGGTCTTGCGTGCTACGACGCCGGCGAATATCTTGCTTTCGTTGACCAAGGCGATGGTTGAGTATGCGGGCCCTTGCCGCTACTTCGTCAGCTTTCTTGTAAAGGATGGACGTTCTTTGTTCTAGAATATCCAAAGTCGCCAATTCCGCTGTCTCATCCTCCTCGAGAGGGTGATCGAGGGGAAACCGATCCAATGCACCAGACCACACCAAGCGCCAGTCATCTTCCAGAATCTCAACCTGTGAACCTTTGAGGATAAATTGGCAGCATCGGGAGCCGTCTGGCTTCTGAACGAGGTTGAAATCCTTGGGATTCGATCTAGCGAAACTGACAACGTCAAGCCAACTTATGGGGTTGGAGAATGGCTGGAGCGGTGTTGTTTTGATGGGACCATCGAAAAACTTTTCGATACCCCTTAAAAGTCGCGGACCAGTGAGTTTGGCTCCAAGACTTGCTGCAAGGCTTTCATGTCTATCTAGGACATCTGAGGATGGGTGTTAGCCAATGATCTCCCATGTTGATTTCATGAACATGTCAGATTCTTACTCTCGTATTCGCCGATGAGGCCAATGATGTCGGCAAAGGTGTCGGCATCGCCCTGAACGAGGCTCAAGTGAGAGGCATTTGATCTTGAGAGATAATGGATGTAGCCGGGAACGCCTTGGATGTCAGGTTAGCATATCCTCAAAGCGAACAAGCTGTGCCAGAGCACCGAGACAGAAAAGTCAGATACAAAAGCAACAAGCATATGCGCTCCTGGAGGAGTCAGACTAGATGCTGCGTTTGGAGAAGGCTGCTAATTCAAGCGCTTGTCTTTTTGCGTGCGCCTCGAGGCGACAACGTGCGTTGAGCAATGTGGAAAACGCAAAGACATACACAATATGTCTCATGCGCGATGCTACGAATGAACGTCTCAGGATTTGAGGCGACACAACACGGTACAGCGCTGGATGGCTGCCATTGTACTGAACATACCTTGAAGAGATGTAGGAGCACGTCCTGGACCACCAGCATCATCGACGTCACGCTTTCGTTTCGCGGGTTCCGAGTCTGAAGTATGACCCATGGTAGATAGCTGCGGTATGTTGGTCAAGAGATTAGATATGGTAGCAGTTCGTTTTCAAGCGTAAGAGTAACCAAAATATGGCGCCTGCGTTGTCCGACAAACTAGCTGGCCGAAATTGAGGCTCAGCAGACCTATCTTGCAATCCAAATATGCTTCTGCGAATTGCACAAAATAGGGAGGATGTCAGGGCGTGTCGAAAGATTTGACGACGCAGATGAGAGTCAGGTGAGTGGCGGAATGTGACAAGGTTGGAGTCAGGATGGCAAGCAAGGTGAGAAGAGTGAAGAGAGGAGGGGATAACAGAAGCGGTTATTGAAGATTCATGGCGACAGATTTAGGTTGAACAGAGTTGATGGTGAATAAAGGGGACAATGTGTCGATCTGCAGTGTAAGCCCCAGGAGAGGTCCAGATGCAAGTAAATGACCGCCAAGAGGAGGACAGTTTTTGATGGACAGTCGCAATTGCTCAATTTGACCCAGAACAGAAAATCCCTCGTGCAGAATACCGCACTCAGCTACGAGCGGTCTAGTTGGAGACTCTTAGTGGGCGAGGAGGAGTCTTGTTGATCAAGAAAAGGAGATTGAAGAGGGTCGAATATTCGCTGGGCTGGGACAAAAGATCAGAAGGGCATGCGGGAAAAGAGTCTCGAGCAAGAAGAAAGTGCCGGGACGATGTGGGGGGACAAGGTACCAACTGGATGAGAAGATGGGAGTATGGCGGCGGCTGGAATGAACTTGACTGGAAAGTGCGCCAAATTGAGGACTTCCCCTACTACCAGCCTCACCTAGCAGGGGATGTACCACTGTAAGAACCTTAATGGCAAAGTTGAAATGAGGTAGGCCAAGAAACCGTGGGAGAAACACTACTTAAGTAAGTACTGTAGGTAGTGGTATTCAGACAAAAAGAGAGGAGAGAAGCGTATAGCGGACCAACGGACTCATGATCAAATTAGTGTAACTTGACTTCTTTAGGACAGTCCATAATCAACTTAGAGAGGCCTCCTTCATAACAGAGACAGCATATACATGCAAGAAAACAACTCATTGACCGTGACCGACAGTTGTGAATGTATATCGCTTACTGTCTGCCAGGTGCATATACATGTCTACCTAGGAATCTTTGTATGAGGCTGTGCTGTTGCTTGTAGACTACTAGTCTGGTAGGTACGGATGGAGGGATGGATAAACGACGGTAACAAATGCATAAACCTAGGTTGGTCTCCCATGTATCATTGACGACGCCACGATCTGTCTGAACGTCGCTTCCCCAAGGCACGCCAGCTCACCCCCGCTGTCTCAGGTTGGTTGTCGATTGCTTCAGCCCGCTCACGACGATCTCCAATAAAAGTGAATAGCGTGATTATGAACTCAGGGTAGGATCTCATGGCATTCACATGTTGCTAATTCAGACTCATCACTGATTGGCTGAATCGTAACTTTTAAGAAATACCATATTCCAGAAAGACTGGTTTTTGGATGTCGGTGGTTCATCTCATTAGAAAAATAGGTACCTAGTCTTGATTATCGGGAAATAATTTAGAACAAAGTATTCGTAGCGTGCACCTTGAACTATATTCCCGCCTTTTGATCCTGACATCCTTTTTCATGCATCCGAGGCGGCTGGCCAAGCAAGCTCCATCCATGTTAAGCTCCCGTCTCACTCTCATTCTCACAAACCGATTTGACTACCTCGCACCCAAACCCACACATACCACCCCACAAAAAGCCCGAATCTGCACACACTTTGGCCCAGATCCGTACTAGTAATTCACCCCACCAAAGCATTCACAAGTTCCAACGACGTCTAACCCAAACACCCAAGCAAGTTCATCAACAATATCTCGCCCACCCCCATCTCCCCCTACCCAACCCCCGACCAAAAATACGCCATGTCCGATAGACCCTCACACCGAGGTGGCCGCGGCCAAGGATCGCATCCTCGAGGTGGACGCGGAGGCGGTCGCGGAGGCGGCGGCGCGGGAGGCGCTCAGCAGGAGCGCGAGAGGCCCAAGAAGGAGAACATCCTTGACCTGGCCAAGTACATGGATAAGCAGATCACCGTCAAGTTCAACGGTGGCCGTGAGGGTACATCCGCTCGATTTATGCGCCATCAAGGCAATGTGCTAACTCTGTGTGCAGCCAAGGGCACGCTGAAGGGCTATGACGCTCTCATGAACCTGGTCCTCGATGATGTACATGAGGTTGTTCGAGGTATGCCACGCGATTACATATACGCATTTCGTCTTCTCCCTTCATTATTATCGCACTCTGCATACTTCCGCGGCTGACACCATCATTACAGATGACGAAGGCAACGAGTCTACTCGATCCCTCGGTCTTGTGGTTGTACGAGGCACCCTCCTTGTCCTTGTCAGCCCCGTCGACGGCAGTGAAGAAATTGCCAACCCTTTTATTCAAACGGAGGATGATTGAAGATACAAAATAGCGGACTGGAAATGAACATCATGATGATAGTGAAGAGTAAAGTGCCTGATTGAGCGACGGCCACAAAATCTGCAGCCGTGTCACGCAAGGCTCGACAACTCAAAGAGGCGGAGCAATTACTTAGACGGCCCTCTCCAGTTATACCATTTTGGACTATGTATGGGGTCACAAAGGGCCGCGCAGTGCAAATCCACTAGGCTTCAATCGTGCAATTACCACGTCATTAGCCGGATTCAAAACTTATATTCAAGGCAATAGACCATGTTAATAAAGCAAAGCTGTATGTATCTCGCTGAACCCTTTGCCCTACACAAACTTCTGATATATCTGAATCCCCACTCTATAACGATCAATCGTGACTTGGAATGAGGTTGGCCCGCAGTGATCCAAGGTTGCAATCTTCCAATATAGCAATCAAAGTGTTGGCCCAAGTTCTGTCGTAAACCGAAGTACTATCAGAAGCCTCGTCCTGACTTGCTCCCTTTCACAAGCTCTCCAAAGGCATTCGCCAACATCTTTTTGAGCTCTTTGTAGCTAACGAGAAAGCTGGTCTGCTCGTCTCGACTTGTGAGACAGACTCTCTCATCTGATCCAATATCTAGCTTGTTCATGCATCGTAGCATGTGTCCCATGTCCAGGACTGGTTTGCCGTTGTTGTCAACTTGGTGGAAAACGTAGTCTCGGAAAAGCTTAAGCATATAGCGTTCGCCATTCTCGGCCCACGCTCGATCCCCCTCAAATTCAGGTCGTTCGTTGATGGTTGCAAGCTTCATCATTAACCGCGCAGCCCTTCCATTTTCAATCTCCCGCATCACGTCGGTATTGGCCTTGTCTAAAGCTTGCAGATTCTGGTCAAAAGTGGAAGTAATTCGCCCGGCGATTCCGCGTACAAACTCCTCAATGCCTTTCTGAGCAGGAGGTTGTTGAGGTGTGAGAAGCCATAAAATAGTATCTCTTATCTCAACGGAATATACCCTGGACATTTGTTCCAACGACATCTGGTAGTTGGTCAGGTGTACTGGCAACGTGTTAGTTGTCAAGCAAAGCAGCAAGCGTCCGAATTGGATAAAGTCTTCTTGCTGTAGCTCCTGAATCGGTCGGTGTGCATCATATTGCACAACATCGAGGATGGAGCATGCACTGAGACGAATTCGGTTTGTATGAGTCAAGATGATCTTGCTCGGATCAATGCAGCGTGCTGCCAAGTTGGTCGAATGGATAGATTGGAGAGCATTGGCGATCTGTGAGATATAGGCCCAGAGAACGTTTTCAGCAACGGGGGTTTTCGCTTGGAAACGACTGCCATGAGTGGTGCTCGGAGTTAAGTGAGCCTCAACAAGTGTCTTTGAGAGAGGGTAGTAGTCTTGCACAAAAATGAGCGAACTATCTCCAAAAGCACGCGTTGTAAATGCATCGTGGATGGTCACCACGCTGCCATTGTTGATGCGTCGCCATTCTTTCACAAGTCTGATTGCATGTTCGTTGGTTAACCTGTAACCTTCTAGCCGCCTTAAGCAATAAAGGTTGCCTGTCTTGGTTGCCGTAGCTTTGTAGACCCAACTAGGGTAGCCAAAGATATTAGCATTTTTTCGATGGGTCGTGTCCAATGGCACCAAGTTGTGGTAGTTATCGAGTTGTGGTAGCTGAGAGTTGGGGAGGACTTGGCCGGCTGCCTCGAGCTTCCGGGCAATCTCTTCGCGCTCCTTCTCAGGCAGGAAGAAGTCGTGCGGTACACGATGATAGGACATCAAGTCATCTCGATGGGGAGCCACCGGGAAATATAGATGGTGTTGGAGTGGTTGGACGGGTGTTGCAAAGGCGTTTTGCGCTTGGAAATAACCTGGCCCGTGGGCACCGAGCGTAGGGTCTTCTGCATAAGGGTTAAATTGGGGAGTGGTAAGGCCTTGATTTGCAGTAAATGGGTCATAAGAGATCCCGCCATCTTGGGCGGAGCCATTTGTCGTAGTCTGCCTCATTAGCATTGTCTCGGCATCTAGTGTGATTATGTCTCACCGTATTGTTTATGTCAAACGTAGGTGTGAATTCGCGGACAGACCCAGGATTGAAGAGGCTATTATCGCCATCTTGCAGACCCACGGGGGTGGCAGCTTCGCATATTGTCAGTCAAGTTGAGAATTACAAGGGCATATAAGGTTCCGTACAACCCAATCCACGTGGAGTAAATGCGGGAGCGCTTGCAGCCTGGGAAGAGAATGTTGGCTTTTTGCTGCCTATGCCGGCGGGTGTAAACGAGGGCGAGTCGACGTTTAGTGATTTTTTGGATCTATGTTTGTCGCTGTCAGCCATCCTGTTAAGTCAACGGAACATGTCCATGGATAAGAAGAGACTGTGGGTCTTTAGAAGATTGACCAGTCTAAAACAAGATGAGACAGTGAAATACGATAGAGTATGATCAGGATGGGTAGGTAGTTATGAAAGATTTTGCAAGTCAATGAACAGAACAAGCAATATATGGCTTGGACAACTCGGGAGAAAGTTGGCAGATAAGTCATTTGTGATGATTAAGGCAAGCACCAGCCGTTAAGCAAAATGTAGAGGCAGGCACCATAGGTGGCTGCTGCCACAGCAATGAACCTTTAGACTCAAATTGCGGCAGGTGCGATCCATGATTGGAGTCTCTCAAATCACATTACCAATTCAGCGAACATGGATAGTGGCGGGTAGGGACTCTTCTGGCCCACGGGTATAACCAAACCAAAGTCGAACTTTGACACAGCGAGCTTTCGCATGATGGGCTATCAAGCACCAAACGATCATGAGCAAGGTTAACCTACATATCTGAATTGGAGTTATTTTTGTTTTGATCATGGCTGAACGCGCAGCCTTGGTCTTCGTAGCGACAATGGCCATAAATAAGTACGTTCCGGCACAAGGTATCTTTATTTTCTAAAGACTCCCAGGTCAGTGTTTGTTTAGGCTTTAGGATAGGCGGGGCGTTCTATGATCGGAAGGGTAAACGAACCGCGTCCCTTGGGCCTCGGAGACCCGACTTGGCGTCGTAGATCGGCCGGTTGATACCGCGATGTCGCCATGGTCAGTGGTATATAATGTTGAAGATAGTGCAGCCCCTTGGCCGAGTTTACGACGTCTAAAGCAAGGATGGTACGTTAGCAGAGCACAGAAGGTAACAGCGGTCTTGCACGGAGAACAAAGCCGACGGGATCTGGACCGAGTACTAACAAAGACAGCACCTACTTGACTCTGGCAAGCATCTCCCATGGTTCAATGGCTCGAGGCGACTGGCCGCCCATGGAGGAACGAGACGGGCGGCGGGGTTTCAACAGCGCTGCTGACCGGAGCAGCGTCGAAGTCGAAGAGAGCGCAGGAAGCCAACAGCCGTGTTCAGGAGAAACAAGGCGCGGGCCGTCGCCTCTTGTAACGGTAACAAGCAGTTGCGAGGTCGGGGGAGGAGACGAGAGGTAGGAGAGGTTAGGTAGGTAGGTAGGTATGTAGGAGTTGGACGAGTGTGGTGGATGTGGGCGGTGGGGGGCACTTTCGGTGGAGGGACTGGCGCGCAAGACGACCTATTGACCAGCGAGACAGGACAGCTCAGTTCGCGAGTCTTGGTTCCAACAGCACCGCGCTTCAGAGTATCTCTCCCGCAGAATTGATATGCAAAGATACATGCAATGTTCCCTGGCAGCATGACGCCAACCTGCCTGAACCCAGCTTGTTCCCATTGCCTTAGTGTGGTGGGTTAGTAGTACTTGTGCAATATGCCGAAGAATAGCCCACCAAAAACGGGTTTGATGTATTACTGTCCTAGTCTACCCCATACTGATAAGCCAAGCTCTGACACGCCCCCGATGCTATCATTCCTCTATCTCGTCTAGCTCTCGTCACAATCCCCGAAGTTCTTAATACGGGATCCAAGTCATGGCAATAATTCTACGATCCATGCCCCAGGAACTTTCAAGTACCTGCTTAAAGATTGCATAAATCAATCAAACAAACCTTGCCTCGGTAGGTTAACCTTCAATACACTTGATTTGCAGATCCAGAACCTTCCTTCTCGTCTTGTTCTTACAAGAACAGCGGGGGACACCACTACGACCGAAACGCAAACCACATCTTCTGTTCTCACGTGCAACAGTCGCAAGCACTAGACCTTTATAGATAGGCTTGCAACTGAAGCTCACGAAACGACCTTGTTCAATACTACAGACAAGGCGGCCAGAGGAAACTCACAACTATAGTATGGACGAAAGTGAAATCGACTTGGGACAGCTGTCCTCTACGCAGCAAGAGGCCCTCAACCAGTACACTCAAGTCACGAATCAAGAAGTCAACGAAGCCATCCCACTTCTGAGGCGGTCGGAGTGGAACGTTCAGGTATGCAATTTCATTCGATATGCACTTCTGGAGATTCTAACGCTGGCTCACAGATCGCAATCGCTAAGTTCTTCGACGGCGAAACAGCCGATCCAATAGCTGCAGCGCAGCAAGAAATCCCCCGAGCGACAGCGCGACATGAAAACCTGCAAGAAAGTCTCTTACACGAGGCAGCGCGTCCCCCCCGTGCCTCACCACGGCAGCGCACTGATCTAGCGCCACGAATCGTTCCCCAAAACTCGGTCACAAACCGGGCTCCCTGGCTTTTAGGTCTGCTCCTAACACCTTTCAGCCTGGGTTGGAAGGCTGCCTCAACACTCTTTCGAACCCTGATATATGCCTTGTCGTTCCTACCTGCATCGATTCGACCACGTGCTGTAACAAGCAGAATATCAACCGGCTTCAGGGGTACCAATGGCCGACGACCTCTAATGCCACGGGACACAGCCTCGAGGTTTAAGAGAGAATTCGAGGAAGAGTATGGGGAGAACGATTTGTCCTTTTTCGAAGGCGGTGTCGCTCAAGCACACGACCAAGCTAAGAAAGATCTTAAGTTTATGCTTGTGGTACTGTTATCCCCCGAGCATGACGATACCGAGTCCTTTGTCAAGGAGACTTTGCTGTCCCCGGAAGTAGTCGCTTTCATCAAGGATCCTTCCAATAATATCCTACTTTGGGGCGGTAACGTGCTCGACTCTGAAGCTTACCAAGTGGCTCAGGAGTATATTTGTACCAAATATCCTTTCTCAGCATTGGTTTGTCTTACGCCTAAAGAGGGCAGCACCCGCATGGGGATTGTCAAGCGCCTCGTCGGACCCATGCCTCCATCTACCTACTTATCTGAAATTCGAGCAGCTATCGAGAAGTACGGTGCTGATCTTGATGGAGTGCGGGCCGAGCGAACAGCCCAGGAAGTTACAAGAAATCTACGAACCGAACAAGATTCAGCCTACGAGCGATCCCTAGCTATTGACCGCGAGCGTGCTCGACAGAAGAAGGAAGCTGCAGCGGTAGCAGCGGCTGCAGAAAAACGCGCCATCGAAGAAGAAAACGCAGCGGCAATACTTGAAGAGAAGCGCGGGAAATGGAAAACATGGAGAGCTACAACGATTGTGGCCGAACCACCAACCAGCGAGAAGAATGTTGTGCGAGTCGCTCTTAAGATGCCCGAAGAATCGGGTATCGGCCGAATCGTGCGTCGTTTCCCCCAGGATGCATCTCTGGAAGACATGTATGCCTTTGTGGAGTGCTACAGCGTTCTCCACCAAGACGGCGCAGCGGTAGGTGACAGACCGGAAGATTACGAGCACGAGTACAAGTTCCGGATTGCCTCGGTCTTGCCCAGGGAGGTGTACGAGCCCAGCACGACGGTGACAATGGGAGAGAAAATCGGAAGATCAGGAAATTTGATTGTGGAGGACATCTCACTGGACTCGGAAGATGATTCAGACGACGACGTTGATGACGAAGACGAGGAGGCGGAGGCTGTTTAATAGAAAAAGCCGTGAGGCGATGAGTAGGTCGTTGTCTATTACGTAGATTTTGTAAAGCGGTCCAAGATGCCAGCTTTTGATAAGAAGTAAATGCGTTTTGGCAAAGAGAACTGTGACTAAATTGTGTATATTACTGGCAACATCAACCGTACTACCTGGTATTAAATGCTGGTTCACATGTTGCACCGATCCCAGTAAATTGCCGAAAGAGCGATGAAGGGGTAATGCTTGTCGGACTTAGACAACTTCAAGAGCGGCGCAATCCGATGGACACAGCAACATCCTCGTCATTCGATATATATGAGATCTGATGGTATTACAAAGTAATAAAACTCTCGCACTTCAAGATCAATCTATCACGGCCCATCTGTATATCCTATAATGTACCCCAGGAGCCCCAAGGTAAAGCCAAGACGCGATTGTCACTCGTGTTGCCCGGCGGTGATGCCTCGGGAGGGGTTGATTGCGTAGGGTGATGAGGCTGTGCAACAGAGGCCGCTTTAGAATGATGAAAAGGATGAAGAAATTCCTCGACAATTGATTAACTTGGTTCAACATTTGGGTTCGCAGTTTTCAATCCAAAACCCATGTACTTAGACATTCATTCCTGAGCTTCCCTATTCGGTTCTCCTCGACCTTGAAAAAGGACCCTGCAAATCGTCGAGCTTTATTTTAACAGCCTAAGTCCAGCTTTAAGCCCAACAAGTGGGTGACGTACGGAGCGGTATTAGCGAGTGGCGCATCACGGATCCTTTGACCAGTCCGAACCACCTCGAAATCAACAAACACAAGCAACGACAAGAACAGAAGGAGAATATCAAGATATAGAAAGGGATCAAAAGACGATAGAGCGGTTACAGTATCACTAATCACGTCCGTCGCTCTTTTTCGCTTCAAGATTTACCAAGGATTCAACTCCTCTCGCTCATTCACAAGTCTTCAGGGATCAATACCTACCTCTCTACCCTTGCTACTCCCAGACAACGGCGCCAATCATTCGACACTTGCTCCAATCCAACATCGTCAGCTCTGCGAAACAAGTTAAATCGACCAACACCACCGTTTGTTTCTGAAACTGCGAAGGCATTGGATTGGATGCTCGGCGCCTTCCCATTTGGGACTTAATTTCCCTTCATCTCTTTCAGATATCTCAGTGAGCCTCTATCTCTTCAACAACGATTTGTTGTCTCACACCGTCGCATTTAGGCAACCTATCGTCGCCTGCCTCCTGTCCACAAGTACCCAATTACCATATCCAAGAAGCCGCCTCTTGCGGCGCAAGGCTCCGACGCAGCCATGAAATCTATGAAAGGTCTCGGTATGAGCAAGATGCTCGGAAGCATTAGAAAGAAAGCAAGCAATGTTTCGAATCGTATGTGTCTACATGCACACGAGCAGCCTTGCTTTTCGCACAGGCTCAAGCGGCGCAAAAGAAATAGTGAACCAGTACTGATATCTACAGGAACATCCGACGGACCCTCCGGAACATCACCATCAGGGACGACGCCTGCTGGCTCACCTGAGGCTACAGCTCATAACAGTGTGGTATGCCGTCGCATTATCGCGCAATCTTGCGAAACCACCCGTGTCGTCTAGTCATTGCTGACCAAACCTAGAAAGCATTCTGCGAGTCTGGAGGAAAGTCAAAGGTAAACGCCTACCACTCGTCACATCACCTCTTGTGAAGCATTTTCGCTAACATCATGCGCTCCTGTACAACAGCAAGACGAGGTCCTTTTTCTCCCTCCTATCGTCGACGCCGCCGAGTCTTCTCCCGCCGCTGCCGCAGAATGCGCGCGCTTGATCCGCAAATACCTCTCGAAAGACTACTTTTCAAGACCATCATGGCAATACAATGCAGTCATGCTGCTACGCATCCTGACTGATAACCCCGGCCCGACCTTCACGCGAAACTTGGACCAGAAATTCGTTGATACTGTGCGCTCGCTCCTCAAGCATTTGAGAGATCCCAGCGTCCGTCAGATTGTGATGGAAACTCTTGATGACTTCCAGCACTCCAAGGCATACGATGAAAACTTAACGTTGCTTACCTCAATGTGGCAGAAGGAAAAGGAAGAAGCTTACAAGAACTACGGCGTATGTCTACAAGATTTCACGTATGGATGCGATCCAGACTAATACTGGCTGTCGTAGGGACCACGGCAACCCATGATGCCGCCAGGCGGTTACAATACTTCTCCTCCTGCCCAAAACCCGCACTCCCAAAATTACTTTGCGAGACACCATTCAAACAAGCAATTGCCCGACCCTATCGAACTCGCCAGCCGACTTGAAGAAGCCCGAACGTCAGCCAAGCTCCTTGAGCAGGTCGTTATGAATACACCTCCCGGCGAGATTCTCGACAATGATCTTATTAAGGAATTTGCCGATCGGTGCTCGAGCGCCTCTCGCAGTATTCAGGGTTACATGACATCCGAGAATCCCACACCCGACAACGATACAATGGAGAACCTCATCGACACCAACGAGCAGTTGCAAACTGCGCTTAACCAACATAAGCGCGCTGTCCTCAGCGCTCGCAAACAGCTGGGTCTTAACGAGCACACTGACTCCCAATCGCCGAGTTTAACCCCCCAGTTTCAGCCCCAACAACAGCCGGAGTCTCAGTTCCAGGCCAATGGAACCAACACTGATCATTATTTCGGCAATGCGTCTTCCTCAAGTTCTGGTCACAACAACGGCAAAGGCAAAGAGACACATTCTTACTCACCCCCCTCAGGTCCTCCACCAAAGGCAGGCAAAGGAAGTACAAGCCGGCCCCACGATGAATCTGCCGAGAACCCATTCGCAGACCCTCAACCAAGCGGTCCTGGCCAAACGGCGGCGGCGGCGTACCAGTATCCTGAGGAACAACGTCTTGCTTCTGAACCCTTCCACCCTGGATTTAGGCCAACAGAAAGTTATCTAGGCCGACAGGACAGCGCCATTGGAAAGGTCCACATGCACGGCGCTGGCGCATCGACCCCATCAGCCCAACCACCTGCACAGCAACGGCTTGACGAGGTTTCGGATGACGATGATATCTACGATGCACCCAGCGGCCCTCCGCCCAAAAGTAAGGAGCCCATGTACCGATATTAACGGTGAGGCTGAAGGTTGAGGAGGCTGGCTTGATGGCAGTTCTCGAAATATGCGTTCCGTTTATCGAATTTGCTAGAGGATGCCGCATTGCTTCATTTCAAGATATCAATGGTTTACGCTGCAAACTCCCAGCCCAGTGGGAAGACGGATGCCTCGGTTAGATGGTGGATTTTGTATTTTGTATTGACATCTTAATATTGTCGTACATACATGAATGGGCTGGCACGGCGAAAGGCAGATTCCCATAGCGTTCTCTTTTGTTGTATTGTATCTAATATGCTGTTATTTAGCATCAATACCATCTTCGCAGCCTTTTAGAGGCGTTTCCTCAGTCCTGTGTGTTCCTTTGCTGAGATGTGTTCACTTTGCTCACACACTATAGTTAGTGGCTTCTGACAATCTAACAATCACTCCGGCATAATATCAGCGCGACAAAGAGAGAATACACGTTTCAATCCAATGGCCCGCGGAATCGAGGAAACCTCCACTTACAGATTGTAACGGCCATTGAACTAGCAGGTAGGTACCCAATAGTAGTTCTGTCTCCCTCCATTCTGACTCATTGTTGGTTCAGAGTCAATATGAAGACTCTAATGATCTAGCTAACCGGAGCGTCAGAGACGAGCAACAACAGGTTTCGAGCTTGGTCGGACAAAAATGGAGGGACATACATGTCTTGTTAGGGTTCACTGCAGATGTAAGTCTCATGGTCCTAGTCTCGGAATCGATAGCGTGGCTAAGGTCTCATTATCGTTCGTCAAGGTCGTGCCAATTATACCAAGACGATGGGGACGACGCATGGTGATCGGCCCGGTCAGCAGAACTGCGTCGAGATGATACTGAGTAGCGTTAAGAAACATAACAGTTGGATTTATTGAGATATTCTGAAGCAATGAGCGATATGGGGTGAATCGATTTTTTTTTTTCCTTCCTTTCTTTCTTTCTTTCTTTCTTTCTTTCTTTCTTTCTTTTTTTTTTCATTTTTTTTCATTTTTTTCAGAATAGGCAATTCTGTTTTCTTATTTGTTTGCCGTTGAACATGATGTGGTGGTTGCAATCGATCGTCCAAAGTCCCGGCCCATCTATGGACTCTACCGATTCGTCTTCAGCTGAAGACCTTGACAAACTGAACCGTACGGGACAGTAGGTTATTTTCAAGAGCCTTGGTCAAGATTCCCAGGATCTCGGACTGCTAATAGACGTTGTGATTGCCGTTCTCAACACGGCGACTAGTGGATGTAACCCTGACCAGCGTCTACCGAACCAGTCGCATTTAACGGCGCCCAACACACATCGCAACCCCTGTTCGCTCACCTGCAATATACAGTTTTCAGCTTGAACAATATGACAGAACGCGTTTTCTATCGCGAAGTGGGGGTGATGAAAGAATATCGGGAAAAGTGAGCCCAGAGCAACGCGGCTTCCTACATCACATCATGTTGTTGATCATTGATGTTAGCGGAAGGCGATAGATAGCCAACGCCATGACGGAATTTTGCCAGCGCTGAAGGAACTCTGTCTGGAGTGACAAATCTGCTTTTGGCCCGTCCAATCCCACTGGTTGACGGGACAAGAGAAGGAGGAAATGGAGGCGGACGTGCATGGATGTGGGTGCGCCAAAATTCAAGATTATTGATACGTGGGTAGCTTAGATGTCAGGGATTGCAAACCCGTCTTGACTTATTAGACACGTATATAAGACGAAGATATACCCAGTATCTGGAGTATTAAGAAACTTTGGCTTGATTCGAGTAAATAAGCTACCCGTGCTGAAAGAGGAAATCACCTTCCTTCCAGAATACCCAGAACCGCACCGATCTCAATTTTATTTACAAGGAAGGAGCAAAGCCTGGTGTACCGTACCTACCTTGCCTGAGAAAAGGCACCGTTAAATGAATCAGGAAATAACAAGTATCACATGACAGCTGCCATACAAACTATGCCAGGAGCACCAACAAGACACCATGTCTATTGAAAAGAAAGGAAAGGAAAAGGCTTTCCTCTTGGGAAATTCCGTTGAGGATGGTTCATGCAGAGTATCACATTGGTATAAATCAGGTTCATAATCGGAATGTTGATCCTGGCATGGTAGTGACATTGACATTGACATCGACATAAACATCAACAAGGATCTCGGAAGAATGTGACACACGATGCGATTGACTGCCCAAGTTTCCCTGTTCCCCGCTGCGCGCCGCACCGTGGTCTGGGGCGTCTCGGTGCCAGCGATTGGTTCCGCATAGAGACGCCATGAGGGGCCACCGTTCCCTCCAGCTGGGTCCCCGTTTTACCGTTTTGGGTCAATCTTGCGAACGACACTCAGACCTTGACTTTTTTGCTTGTACGACGTGCATGCCCGCTCACGATACCACAAATCATTCCACTCGGTTTGCCAATGCTACAGGCTATAGCAAGCTTACTCTTTCAACTGGACCGGACCGGACTAAACTAAACTAATTTGCTTGTGTACGCAGCAATTCTTGACTTCCACAATCTGTTTCTCTCGATTCGACTCGATACGACACGAGATACAGCAAGCATCACGCTTCATTTATTTCTTAGCCTGGTCCCCCGCTCAATGGCCGAGATTGTGTTGTCATGCCCGTCCTTGTTTGCTCAAAATGGTTGATCGAGGGCTTGAGGCTCTCTCTCTCTCTCTCCAATATTCTCTTAACAGAACGACGCATCATGCCCATACACACTATCACACGACTCTCTCATTCATGTACTCGCTGCACTGTACCTGATGTCGTTTTACCCACCATGTCTCTACTTTCACTACTTTATTCGTCCAGAGGCTTTAGCCGCCTCCGGCTACATATTGTCATCGTCAACTGCAGCTGGCTCTGACTGTTGCTATGGCTCGAGCTTTGATCTGTCACCTCCCCGACTTGGACTAGAACACCCTTGTTTCTCCTTCATCTACACTTCGCGTCTTTGCTTGCTTTAGCTTCCTCCCCACATGCAATTTACCCTTGTTTTGCTGCATCTTTTTCGCTTCAGAAGCTCAATTATCTCCACATATCTATACATCCACCCTGAGTGACTGACTCTTTAGTCACTCAAATTGTCTCGAGATATCCCAGCTCCTTCCTGCTATTGTTTTACGTTCTTGCTTTTGTCTGTGGCATGGCCGGGTGTGCCCTCGTCCTCAGTTTCTTGCTAACTTTTCTTCTTTCACGATCCTTCGATCTGCTTCATCAACCCAACATAACTTCTTTTATTATGGCCCTCTTTCTCTTGATCAAAGGACATGTACATACATAGGTGATCCTGGTGACCATCTCTCCACCCCTCTCCGTTCTGCTTCCAAATCCCAGCAAATTAACCCTGCTATGGTTCCGTCTTGTTGGAACCGCTTCAAGGACCCATCCCTCCATGTCGAGCGAGGGTTTTTGTCAATTCCCAACCCGCATGAGGCTTGACCATCTTCCATCCTTCGTTACTTTCGCCTCAACTAGTCTAGTGCCATAAAACAAAGAAGTAGAGTTTACGCCCGGTAGTCATTCCCGAGCTGCCATATTAGGTCTTAGGTGGACGACTTATACATAGGCAAAGCGACTTCCCGTCTGTCACTTCTTTAATAATAAATCGCAGTTCCGAATCGATTTCCTCTTTGTCAAACACATCTTTTCGACACATTCACTATTTACCAGACTGGCTTGTCTTATAATGCTCTCTACAACCGAGCTGTTAGTTTCTCGGCCCCCCATCACTCTATCGTACTCTGTACCACCAAGTCGGTCTTGCTTCTCATTTAACTCTCCTAATCCCTCGATTTGTATGGACACTTCGACCAGGACAACGCTCTCGCCAAGCCTCTCCTTGAACTGCCTCAGCTCAGAACTCATCGCCCTCATTTTCGAACAGGTATTTCGCAAGATCTACAATGGTGTGGACATTAGCACAATTCTAATTTTCCATCTGATAGCTTCGGGATCTAGACTCACATGCCCTCACGTCTGCGCGTCTAGTTTCAAAGCGGCTGGACGCCATCGCTGCACCCATCGCATACCGATTCCTGACGCTGAATGAGGCTCTTGTCGCACCAAATGCCGAAAGAAGATATCCTGATGTCTTCCGCCACATCTCCAATCTCACGAACCATGTCATAATACCGAGCAATTTGAACTCCACAGGCATCAATAGGTTATTATCGTGCATTAAGCGATTGAAGTCTGTCCGGTATTGACACCCATCCACGGATACCTCATAGGTTTACTGACAATCTTAACAATAGCTGGCGATATTTGGATGGCAACATCCCTACCGCGGGACTATGGTTTCCTTCAGATCTTCGTCGTTTACACAACTGTGACTCGAATAGTACACAACTGCATATAGAAAACCTCCCTCTTCGACGAGAATACGAGAACAATATGTTGGAAACATTCATTCGATCAATCCCTGCCGAGCTCTTGACATCGCTGAAGCTTGCCAACTCAACCCCGGTCCTGTCAACCCGGCTGAACTCGCTGAAGCAACTCGTCGTTCAAGCTCGACAACTCGGCACACTGTGCTATGAAGATCGTGGCCAAGGCACATGCTTCAACTTCTCTCCCGGAGAAAAAATACCGCCTGTCAACACCTTACTCTTACGATCGTACGACTGGCAGCACACAGCTGATGACGTCGCAAAGCATTGGGACTTCTCTGGGATACAATCACTCGAATTGATTTCGGTGCCCATTTTCAATTTTCTGAAGTCGGTATGCCTCCGAGACTTTTCACAGCTCCATACTCTACATGCGGAGGATTACAGTGCCCATCTATCGGATAAGAGAGAAGACGCCAGCATTGCTTTGAACGTGTTGATAAAGGACCACATCAAGGCACTCGAGGTGTTAAATATTACTTGTCATACTCGATTGTTTCAGCTGGACGCCATTGCAGCACATCGGGACTCGTTACAGGTCTTGCGGTTTAGAGATCATGTTGGGTTTTCTGAAGACGATCAAAGATGTCCAACACTCCCTCCCAGTGGTCTGGCTGGTCTTGGCCAACAGCTGAAGTTCGTTCACACACTCGAGCTCGACCTGGACACAAGGCTATGTGACCCATTCACCTTTCTCCGAGCGGTGTGCGCTTTCCCAGCAGTGCACACGCTCACACTACATGTTCAGACCATGATTCAACCTTTGGATGAGGTGGCACCGGGGATCGACCGGGATTACGAGGCTGCGATGAAAACATTCCAATTACTCGTGCAAGAAAAGGAACGGCTTGGCGCTTGTACTCCCTGGAAGCACATTGCTGTCAATGTGGGGGGTTGGAAGCGAGTGATGGTTCGCAGACTAGGCGGTATATGGCGACGAAGAAACAACATGGGCATATACGCCGAGAGGTGCTTTGTCCTCGAGCGAGATGTACAGAGCGGAAGGATAACGGTTCATGAGGAGGTTTGCGCCGAGCCTACAAGTCATGGGGGAAGCCCAAGCCCTTGAGGGCATTGGTTCGGCGCGTTTCAAAGATCAACTACATGATACCTTTACCATTCAGGTATTCTAGCACCACCACTATATTGCTGTCGCATCTGCCTGGCATGCCTGGACGCGCCATGTAGTTGTACAGCTTTACTATTGCCAAAAATTAACGCTCAGACCCCTGGCAGAACTGCGACTCGTCGCGCTTGAGCCCAGTAGCGGCCAGCAGTCAAAGGAGCAGAGGATGAAAATTCATGCCACTAAATATTATAATTAGATACTTTTACTCGACAAAGCGTCGAGATCCAATAACGAGAAAAATGACATGACGAATAGAAAGGTCCCATTGTTATTCGGTTCGTGCCATATCATTACATCACGTATATTTCCGTTGCTGTTTTGTTTCTTGTGACTTTGACCCATGCACCTTATGATGTATGTATGTATGTATGTATGTCACTCAACGTTGCCTGAGCGTTGCCACAACTCTGATGTATTGTAATAGTTACAGTCGTCCGTCCTTAGACACTGCTCTCTGGATATATAGAATGCCTGTCTTCGAGGTGTGCGTTGTCTTCTGCTTCGCGCGGTTATCAGACCAACTCTCACAGTACTGTTGGGCGTTTTATTTGTTTCAAGTCTTTTAGAATACCGAATTGAACGCTGGTTCATCATGTTAGAGCCACTTAGCTTGGTTCCCGGTGCGACCTTGACGAGATAATAGTGTCCACTCACGGTGTCACACTTCACTTCCAGATTACAGTTAAGGACAATCTCAAACTACACGATCATTTCAACAAGACCATTTCTCACCCGAGAGTGGCCATATCGATATAATAACTATTTATTCTAGCCAATTGGGCCATATACTCTGCATCTCCTATCACGGCAACTACATCTTGCTGCCTGAGTATCTAGCAGCCAGCAATTCTGTCAATGTTCTCCACGATATAGCGTTGTAGCGTACCTAGATAACTCTGGTTGCATTGTGGGCTTAGAAAGTTGTGTTTAAGGCTGTCTCAGGAATAGACAGGACAAGATTAACTCGTTCGCCCGATACAGTGGCAATTCATCGAGCAGTCTTCGTACCATATTGAGTATTATGACGCCATTCAAGTCAAACGTACTTGGGAGTACTTCATGGTCTATAGCATAAGATTGTTACATCGCCTAGTAACACTTTATATAAGTTTCATGTATCGTGATCATGGTGAAAGGGTGTAGTCAAAAGCCGCAGCAAATAATGTAGCTAATCAAGGACTCTTCGTAGCGTCGCATGATTCCCCCATAAACACTATAACAACTACATGCGATGTGGCTAAGGGTATGCTAAACTAAACTCTTATAGCAGGGTGTTATCATGCATAGGTATGGTGCTATGTATCGAATGCCACTCGTGCCGATGGGCTTCCTTTGAAGCAACGCATCTTTCATGACATGACCAAGGACCACTGGAGAACTCTGACCGTAGTTTGAAGACTAGGAAACAATTATACCACTCACATACCTTGAGCGTATACTCAATTGAACCTCAAAGCATCTTAGCTCATCGCAGTTGTTCCAGCAGTGTGACACAACGCCGCCTTCGGCGCTCCAGCAATCTATCAATCAAGCGAAGAAGGCCATTGCTTGCTCAACCGTGCTTTTACAGGGCACCTCCGCTCAAAATTCGCCGCGGCCTTTAGCTGCGAAAAGCTCACGCGTATCAGAAAAAGCTGAAAGTCTCCGAGTTGCCTAAATTCCGCTTAGGCAATGCCCAAACCTGTGCTAAAGTACCTAGTCGCGTCTTTCTACGCCAGGCATGAGGGACACAACTTGCTCCTGGCTCACAAACGATCAAGCCCGTGGGTCTTGCAAACCAGAATATTCAAAGGACCTAATTGTGAGGGTGCAATGCCCTGAGCTATACTCATTACACAGTTACCGAGTCAATTCGAGCCAGTAAGCCTACAAAAGACAAATTTTTGTTTTATTTTTAATCATCGGGAGGTCTAACTAATCGTGTCGTATATCGTCCAACCAAGAGAAGACGATGGACAGACAAACCACCAAGAGTAATTGCAGTCGATAGCTCTGAAGCTGTGATTAGTTGCCTGGGCTAGACACTAGGAGCACCTCAATACTCGGTGAGATGATAGCTAAGTAGGGTAAGCTAGCGCTTCCTTGCTTTATCTCACAACTGGGTCCAACTAAAGACAACACGCCTCAGGATATCAGAAAAATTAGCTGCTGGAAGAACAAAAAACGAAATTAGTAGGTCAGTTAATGCTACTTAGATCATACTTCTTAGGTTGTTTATTTTTGTACCTTTAAGCTTACGATGTCAACTTTTCTGGTACCCACTAGCCCCATGTGTTGGTCCATCCCTTCTTTTCCCGCGCGGCCCTTCCCGCCCCTTCTCATTCATCAACGATCGTCAATCGAGGCATCGTGACAGTTTATGAGCCCTCAACCAAATATTTTCGACTATCCAACGCCAGCAATTTTGTGAGACAAACTCGAGCAAGGTCAGTGTTTACCGCAGAGATATGAGCCAGATAGTCTACTCCTCTCACACAGTGTGGAGCGTCTGTCGTGCTCGCCGGCCCCCCGGCCCGGCCGCATTAGTCTCGCTAAGGTGACGAACAACACTCAAGCGAAACGTACGAAAGTGGAAACCAGGGTACGATCAGACATGGGCTTGTAGCAAGAGGATGGTGATGGCATAGGCTCAGTGTCAACAATTGACGCGCTGGGCAGTTTTATGCAAGTGGAAAGGATGTGCATTGTAGTCTGAAGGGCTAGCTGCGAATTTGGCCGATGAGATGGGACCAAAGAGAGAGTCAGAAGAATCAAACAAAGGGATCGAGAAGAGTGGTCGAAAACGAAGGCTAAAACAATGATCAGAAGCAAACACTCGAGGGTAGATACTGCTTCATTCCGGACTTACTGACAGTATCTGAGGATTACTCCTCTCATCCAAAACATAGAGAAAGAGCAACGACATGGCTTGCATTGAGCGCAAAGACTCGATATGACGTTCCAAATAACGACTCTGTACCAAGAATGACAATTAATGCGAGTATTAGTCAGTATCAACGCGTCTCTATATGAGAGATAGTAAAGAGGTAGAGGATTCCTTTAGGTTTCTGCATCCCTTTCCCTATGGTTAACTTCAACCACGGAGCAGCGCCTTCACAAAGTTTTCGAAATTGTTGTGGAGCATATAAAACTGCAGCTAAGTATAGCATAGCAGGCCGTTGGCGTAGTCATAATGTCGTCGAGGCAGAGCTACAACTCAACCCCAACACTAGCTGGGTGTTGTGGCAACCTTTGACGACTTAACGATTAGAGAACATGAAAAACATACGGTTTGACTGTAGCAGCTGGCTGTGGTGCATATTGTCTAATAACGACCACGTTGCCTGTGCGAATTGCTGCCTACGCTTTCCAAACAAGCATGTACGCAACATGTGGAAAAAGCGAGGTGCTATCTGTTTGCCGCATAGGTGATCGCAGTTCCTGATTCTCAGACGGGTTAGCCCGTTCAACTCTCTGCTATTATAGGGTTATAGAAGTCGTTCGTCATCGAGTCGCGAATTGATCTCTCAAGTCGTTGGTCCAACACTCCGGTTCTTCGACGATTGGAAGGGACTGGTCGAGTTCCCCAGACAGTCTGCGTAACCCATGACAGTCCTTGGGTTTCCTATTTGCTCTGGAATTTGCATACTGATGGTCCCCAAGTCAGCGGAAGTTCTTCCAAGCACTAGCAACAAAGAACAAGCGTTTGTCGAACTAGAATCAAAAGAAGCACTGCGAGGGCTTTCGGCGAAGACATGCTTTCGGGTCAACTCACCATGACGGGGAAGATTCTGTCATAGCCTGAACAATTGGGAGGCTGGTCGGCTACTGTTGTTTCAGCCTTGGTGATAAAGGGAGCTCGGAAACGTTGTCCAGCCTGTGCAAAGACTCAAGGCCCAGACTTCTCTTTTCTAAACCCTGCCGCCGGCAGCTCGAACCACAGGGCCAAATCCACTGGATATCCGAGCTCTTCAAAGAAAGCGCGTGGCGTCAAAGATCAGGACGAGGGAAAAGAGAAGATAAGCAGGCAGCGTCTGCGGCTACCACCTGCCAGGATCGATGTCGATACTCGCCTCCGGCATCATGATATCGCCACAAACGTCCGTTGCGATCGAATGTTCTTTGCGATTCTCGTTTCGTACGGATCTAGAAGAAAGGGGAGACAAAGGTGTATCCTCGTACCCGTGGTGAAGACGGCGATCCCGTTGATTCTGGAAAGGGGCCGAAGTTTGGTTGCAGAGTTGGAAGCGGTACAGTGAGCAAGAGCGAGCTGTCGGTTCAGAAGACAACTCTTGTTGTCGAATTTGCAGTTGCATTTGGCACGATGGATTTGTTCCTTCCCGTTTTCAAATGGTACCGTCATCCCGTGACGTCCCGTCTGGCCGCCCGGAGGTGGAAAGTTTCTGTCTTGAATCGAATCTCTTTAGATTCCTCCCACCGTCAACGTCTGGAACAACGCCTCGTATACTACAAGGGGAAACGATGAATTCAGCTCGCCAGAGTCCGCCCGTTTCCACTCCCGTTCGCGGAAACCCCGAGAAGCCATTCCCGCACATCCGGACCCTTTGTCCCACCAAAACAAGTCTACCTTTTTCGAACCCATCGTCATCTGCATTCCAGTGACCCTTCGACCGCTCTTTTACACGTATGCTCTCGGCCAGGTAATCTACTTTGGCAGTAAAAATAGAGGGAGGGAAAGACAGTGAAGCTTCTGTACACGCCCATCGAGCAAGGAGCGGCGCCGATGCGTTCCGCCGGGATGGCAACGGAGTTGATGGCCAGTTGAAGGAGGGGGGCAAGAATGGAGGGTTCTATAAACTTCGTACGGAAGATGCTTAAACTTGGTTTGATTTCCAGGGTATTGGGTATGGGCGTGTTCGGAACGGTGATATTTGTGGTCATCGCAAGAAAGGGGACCATCAAAGGGCAGCTATCTACCAAACAGTATAGAATAGCAAGGAATGGTAGGTTTCTCACGAGGATGCATTCTAGGAATCTGAATTCCATACCAATATCTGATCTGAACCAACTGAAATCCATGTTATGAAGCCTCCTAAAGCGAAATTCACAAGTCTACTATTATTTACTTCTGCTTCCTTTTGCTACTTTGGCACGCTTCCCTCACGGCCAAGCCTTGAGTGCCATCCGGTAATAAACGAGTGTCTAAGACAGTATTCTCGTGTACAATCCAATGCGTGCTCCTTCTCCCTTCTTTCGGCAAATCTCTTTGAGAGTCGTCACGTTCCGTCGGGACGATCCATAGTGCTTGTCCCACGGCTAACGCGTGGTCTGGCACGTACAACTTCATCCTTTAGAACCTTCATCGGGCTTCTGTGTGGCTGATCTCGCTACAAGATGTCCATTTCTGGATGATTGGGCATCCGAGTTATCTTAGTTGGTATTCTGGCTGTGGAAACCACGGTCTGTTCCTCTTCCAGATTTTCTTCATTCCCATAGTCTCATATCTTTGCTTCTACGTGCCTGGCAATGAAACACTGCATGAGTCGGCCTTTTTAATCACACGAATAGGAGGCTACCATGACAATGTCTACTGCCTACTTACCTACCCAGGTGTTCGTTCGAGAAGACGTAAATCATTTATTAGTGTTCCACAAAAGCCCTCAAGTCAAACTTTATGGTGAATGGCCTCAAAGTTGTACTTTTGACAGCTGCAGCCACTCTGTTCATGGCAACTTGTCCACATTGCAGCCACAAGACACGACATCTTTCCATGGCGCTCGAAGTTATCAAGTCTCGCTTCCAATACCTCTCCTCGGTCAAGCTCGAGTCAGCTTAGCAAGAACACTTGATCCTCCAGATCGTCTCTGGCGTCGATCTCGACCACTCGTATCACCATGATGCTGTCTGTATTGTATTCCATAGCAAACACTACGAACAAACAATCATCACAGGAGCCCGTCTCCCCGATTCTAGTCGCGGTCAGAGTCTCCATTCGTCTTTCACTGACCGCTTTCATATCCAGGGTTGTCCTCCCACCAGAACATTGATTAATTGACTTACACGCCCCCCTTCACTGTACATATGTGGCACCTTTTGTTCCATCGCGCTTGGCTCATTTTGACTCCCTTATTTTACGCCAAGTCAAGACCCATCAAGAGCACAGTCCATGCAAAAGTTTACCGCCTCATCACTTCGCCAGCGCCTGTGCAGTGCAGTCCGATACACGCCCCCCTTCCTCACAGTCTCAGCACCTGCCGGCCATTGATTGAGCCGAGCCCCTTGCTTTGAGCTGCGGTATCTGGCCTGTTGTATGTATGTATGTCCCCTATGCACACTCTTTAGTCAAGCCCTACCCTGGCCCTAACTTAAGTCGTTATCGTCGCTGTTGAGCGAGCCAGCAGTAGGTAAAGGGAGGGTTGTAAACCGGGTCCCTGGAATTAAGATGTGTTATGAGAGGTCAATTATTACGGGTAGCCGTCCCTGGATTTACCCACTGTAATACTTCTTGGTACATTAGTTGCCAACAATGGTTGGCCATGGAATTGCGGTTGTTTTTGATTGTTTGGACTTCTCAAGTAAATGGCTTTCAGCATCGGCCAGCCCACGATGCCCTAGAACTGTTTCATCTTATTATTAGACTTTGAGGTAACCGCTCGGGTCCGTGTCACGGATGATTGATTACCTACCTGCTGGCTACTTACGCTTTGGACCTCCGCTAATCTAGGTACATCATGGTTCGTGCCTGGGACGAGTTCAACTCAGAGTCTCGTCTCGTCTCGTGTCTTACCTACGTGAGTAGTTACCGTGACCGTACCGTGCCTTGGTGTAGGGATCGTACAGACCAGGTTGTCTGTAGTTGATAGACGTGGGCTGGTGCAAGGAGATGCTTTCCCAGGTACGAGATGTCACTAGACTGAGCTAACGCTGGTTAGTTTCAACACCATCCATTGCAACTCATCACCAACAAACACGATGACTGGGCTTAGACCATCATCTCATCTGATCTCAGGTTCTATCCCGCCCTGTCAACTCACTGCCTCGTCTCCCAAGATCGAACATGTCTCGCATGAGGGATGCTGACCACATCAGCCAACGGTCATGTGCTCTTCCCGTTCTGTGTTCCCACTGGCCTGCCCTGTCCTAACCAACATTCCATGTAGATCCCTTTTTTTGTTTTTCAAAAGTCGACAGGGTCTGCCCTACTAACCTGACATTACACAAGATACAGGGGTGATGGTCTGGTGGAGGATAGGAGTGAGCGATTGTAGGCAACCCCATTCAGATTATCACATCTATTGTCCGAGGGTAAGCCTGCAGCATCAATGTACCTCAAATTTACTAACAGTCTGAGAATCAATAGGCAAATACTAGATAGAGTTCTAAGAAGAGAGTTAGAGCTACGGCGGATACTGCCTTGCCTTGTCACAAGAATAATTAGTAGGGCTACGGGACGACGCGGATAAAGAGGCAGTATAGCTAACTGACAGGTACTAATGAAAACAACCATCGTCTATCGTTGCCGTTTCAGCCAGCCATGATCCATCCACTCAGCACTGTAATGCAATTCAATAAAAAAACAATTAATATGTTCAGCCGCAGGCTTCAGCTAATAAATTCTCATCAATGTCGGCCAATATGCACGATTTTCTGCTCCTCCTTTCTTCCCCCCTTGCCCCACGCCCGTCTCTCCCTCCCTCCCCCTTCGTTCTTTACACCTCTCTCTTGTTGTCTTGTCGGCGGTTACTCGACCGTCTTAGCTTATGAGCCCCGGGATAAGGGTGAATCTGATGGATGCTTGCTTTGGCTACTACCTACTAACATTAAGTAGTTGGCAAACAGTTCGTCTCAACAAACAATAAGCCGTCCGTCCTGTCCACTGCCCCGCTCTTCTCTTCCCTTGTCTTCCTTTTCTTTCCCTTCCCTTCGATCTTGATTGATAAGTGGATTGCAAACCTCTCAGCACATTTGTTGGCCTCTCTGTGTGTACCTCTCTTCTAGACACGTCTGATTGGAAAACGTTGCAAGTGCTTTTATGGGTTCTTTGCCGCTACAACCAAACGTCTCTGTACTCCCTCAACTGTTTTATGAGGTTAGTAGCAATATCTAGCAGGTACTAACCTATCTACTCCCTGCTGTAGACGCCTCTCCCGCTCCCATGCGTTGGCCTGTGTCCCGTAACCCCCAGCCTGACCCTCCAAACCGAAAACAAGAATCGAATTGATGTTCAGTAAAAAGTAGTCTCACCGTGTAAATCTCACTGCGGTATCTGCCGTGTACCCGCTAGAAGTCGTGCACCTGTCTGTCCTTCCGCTTGTTCCCCGCCCTGCTTGTCTCCTCTTCTCTCGTCCCCTCTCCTCTCCTGTCTGTCGTCTGGGATTCATCTCCTCTGACTTTCACACTCCTTTGCTTATAATCTCCCCGGCTCTCACCCTCAACCCCCCTCTCTTGAAGCCCAGTCTACTCTACTATTTGCGTGGCTTGGCTCTAGCAACACTGCTCATATTCCACACACCACAGCACTATCACTATGTATCTCGGCCGTACCAGTTCAGCAGCCCACTGCTAGGCTGCACTGCGCCTTTTGATCTCAAGTTCACCATTGGGTATCTCGCTGTCAAGACCCCTGTAGCTACTTCTACGTCCCCACCCTGCCAATACTGGATGTGCTGTACAAATCAGAACCGAACTTTGAGACATCAGGTTCGGCAAACTGATTGTGACAAGCATCGTGTACCTCATCACATATCACATATCACACAACACCATCGAGCTTCTTCAAAGGCATCTAGCCTTGCTGCCATGTTGCCATTGGAAGTTGGTTTAGGTTTTTAGCTATGGCGATACTCTCATGTACATAAGCAAAAAAATCAACGGTGTCGACAAAAGTCTTCCACCACCCCCACATCCTTTTCTTTGCCATCCTCCCTGATATTGCTTGTGCTCATCTCTTCTCGTGGCATGCATCGCTTGATCAACACGCTCTGACACTCCAACAACTGTGGCATCTCTGTCAATAGATGGGTGGTTCTCTCACTGTCCCCTAAATCACCCCTCTTTTCCATCACCACCAGTACACACTTTCTCCCTCATACCTACCGATGACGGTCGGTGAAGGACCAGACACCGGGCCCAAATGTAGAAACGTAACAAAGCATCAACATGAATCAAAACAAAACCGTATGGTGCCGTGAGGCTATCCGTCTTTCCTGAGAACACACATTTACCGACCGATTAAAAAAAGAATACAGCGACTACTCCAGCCGTTGCTTTTCCGAGCAATCCCTTCCACCCGGTAGAACGAACAGACTGGCAAAAGGCAATGCACATAAGTCAAATTCCAAATAAGAGAAACGTCCAGCAAAACATGAAAACCGAACGGAGGGGTCGTTTGTTGCCAAACTCGCGTCTTTTTCTAGATCTTGAACTTTTTGTCCTGTATTGTTGTCGCGCTGCCCCTCCGCTTTTTGTTTTTTCTTCTTCTCGCGATCACACTCCTGTCTCATCCCGGTCAACGAAAATGTAGGCGGAAGATCGAATTGGATAAGGTATTAAAAGCAAACAATCGTCATCAACTTGTCAGCAAGTATTGTCGTGGGTCGTTTCGACTCTTCCCGTTGACCTGTCCGGCAGCGTCAATCGTAACTCCATTCGCCCGTCAACGGCTGGCGTCTCGTCGACCACTTGGCTGACCTGGTGCAGGTCGGTTAAGCCTGTCGATCATGGTCTTATCAATGTCGTTTTTTTCTACCAAGTTGCTCAGACTCATAATCGATGCATTTCCTCCTTGGGATTGCTGTCCCTGTCGGGCGGGGGTGGACGCACCACTTGACCCATTCTGACCTGTCGGTGACCGCCCTCCAGGTGCAGAAGTTGCATAGCTACCAGTCGCTGCAGCCTGAGGCAGAGTGCCGCTCGTCGGGTTCCGCGGGCTTTGTCTCGCACCTTGGTATGGCGGATATCCAACACCACCTGGGCTACTGTGGTTGGAAAACTCGGCTGGGGATCTTCGTCGTGGGTCTTCGTCTACAGCGCTTCGTGGCGGAGGTAATCTGTAGGCGTCATCTTGCTCCTCTGAAGTCCTACGACGCCGCCGTCCTGCAAGCTGGCTGCCGTCGTCCGTTCTCGCATCTCCGTAAGACGAGAAAGACTCCGTTGGTGACTGGACAGGTGCGTAATAGTTTCCTTGAGGCGGCGGAGCACTAGAATGTTGGTAAGCAGCATGGGGCGGCGGTGGAGGCGGAGGATTGCCTGGTGCCAAAGGTTGACCATAAGCGCCGAATAATTGTGTGCCTGGAGGGACACCTCCTGGTACTGCTGATACAGGTATAAAGGCGGTCGAGCTTGATGAAGAGACAGGCTGGAAGATACATTCTTGGTTCATCCTGGCACAGTTCTGACACTTCCCACCGGGAGCAGTCTGATAGCCGCTGCAACGAATCTACAGGTGGTTAGCATTCTTTGAGCAAGAATTGTTCGTCTCCTCGAACACTGCGAGTCACAAACCTTTCTCTTCCTGCAGTATCGGCAAGCGATTGATGTTCTTTGACGGGGAGCTGCCTGCGCCAAAGGAGGTCCGTTGCCAGGCCCAACTGGAGGATACTCATAAACACCGACAGGATGGTGACGGTAGCCGTTCGGCGGTGGAGGGCCCGGAGGGGGCTGTCCGCGATAGTAAGCATAGTAAGGATCCTGACCATACGGCTCCTGGCCATAGGGAGGCCGGCGGTCGTCGTAGTAGCCACCCCGTTGATCTGGCGGGGGAGGAGGATAGGCTGAAGATCGAGGATCGGATTGGGGTTGCAGAGGTGGAAGGTACTGTTGGGGTTGGCCCGGTGGAGGCTGTTGGCCAGGGGGTGGGTAACCGTTGACGGCATTAGGAGATGCATATCGCGGGTCTGTAGGATAACCACGACCCGGAGCTGCAGGCGGCGGCCCGTAACCGCGAGAGTCATGGATAGAGGGCAAAGTGACTGAGGTAGCCATGGTGCCTGGAGGAGCGTCGGAAGGACGCTGGGCAGTATCCGGTGGTGGAGGATAGTGTGACTGAGTTCGAGGATGACTGTCGTCGGGGCGGCTGTGCTGGGGATACTCTTTTCGGTAGCTGTCGTCGGCCATGCTATGTTGAGACGCAAAGAGCCGCAGATGGGCAAATACGGTCAGCGGCGATGGTGCCAAATGCGTGTGGTTGAGAGTTTTCAAAGATGCTTCTGCGGGCAAGCATTTGGCACGGGAAATAACCCAAGACCAAGACGGAGTGAAAAGGAAATGGTCAAATGATTAGTCCGAGTCGTCGAGATCCTGCCCTGTCCTTTCTTGTCCAGTCGCGCGTACCCTGTCCCGATTGTAAAAGACCGGCGATGACCGATTGCTACAAGCCAAGAGCGAGTGAGTGAATGTATGTCTCAACGGGAGATGACAGCAGATTCCACGAGGTCTTGGGACCGCAATCCAATGCCTGACGGTAGTGATGTTTCCCGAGAGGCGGAAGAGGATAAAAATGGTCTCTGACGTGGGCGGGAAGAGTGCGGCGGGACAGGCCGACAATTATAGCGAGGGAGGGAATGGATGGGAGGAAACTCCGATCCAATCTGATCCACTGCGTGGGAAGAGCCAGGAACCACCTAGCCACCCAACCGTAAATGGAGCCTGGGGTTTTGGGGATTGTGGATTTGCCTGAGTGACTTGGGACTAGGATTTGAGACTTGGGACCGGGACTGGGGGTGAGAAAAGGAAGAAAAAAAAGGAAAAGAGGGGGCACTTCTGGGCCCTTGTTATTTTTTTCTGGTCTTCTACCTGTCTTGTCTTGGGGGTGCGGAAATAGTCAGGTGAGAGACAAAATACTCTCTCCCTCCCACTGTCTCGCTCGTCGTATGTCTGTCTGCAAGAGGAGATATCGCAACTTGCTTCTCCGATACGACAGAAGATCTCGAATAAGGCGATTTGTCTTTTTTTTCTCCTTTTTTTCCAGGTCTTTATTTTCCCTCTCGTTTTGCTGCTTCTTTCTTTCTTTTTCTTGCGAGACTGCTTAGCGACAAGACCTCTTTGGTAAAATTGCTGCTGTTTTGTTTAGTCGTAACAGGTCAGGCGACTCGAGCAACTACCAAGCGTTCCTATTGTTTGTATTGCAAGAGTCGACAAGAGGGAAGACGAGGTTGAGAGTGGAGAGTTGAATGTTTGAGAGACGTGGTGGTGAAGGAAAGTTAAGTCAGAAAGGTGCAGACATAACCTTCGCAAGGTCCGTAGTTGAGAGGTGTGTACCTGAATACCGCCTCCAGTTGTTAACACTGGACCATGCCTACAGCAGGTGCATGCCGTTGCGGCGACAAGGAAGTGGGGAAGAGCGCGCGCCAGAAGTAGGTAAGTACTACATAATGAGGTTCAAGGATGGAAGGGGGTGCTACTATTTATTTAGAAGGGTAAGTCTAATAGGGGCATCGATTGAATGTGTGAGGGTAGCTGCAGGTGCAGGTGCAGCGTAGGAGAAAGACAGTCTAAGGTGGACAAGTGGCGGAGACCAGGGCGGGAGTAATGGGGCGGATGGGCCGGTGTCGTGCCGTTCCCAGGGAGCCGGCCCCATGGAGCCCAGCTAGCACCAAGGCCACTTTGGGTACAGTACCTACAGTTCCCATCTGGCTCTGTAGCCCCGTAAGCCTACTGTGAGTACTGTACTGCAGGCCCGTAGATACAGGCCGGCCGCATGTACCTTCCCTCACCTTACCTTACCTGCGGACGAGATGAAACAACGACTAAGCCAAGTCAAGTCTATCCATACCTACAATGCTAAATGAAAGTCAGCCGAGATTGTCCATCCAAGACGAACCACAGAGCCCAATAGAGTGTATTCGCCAGACAAACACATATCAATTACCTGAGTACCTACTAACATACTTAGGTCAGCGGGCAACAAGTGCAGGGGATACCACAAGCGCAGCAGCGTGAATAGAAGGAAAATGGAAAGTGTAGAATCGAGTCCAGAGCGTTTCTGGCGTGAAAGTCAAAGGCCAGAGGCCCAGCCAGGAGCTGAAATGACCAGCTGAGCACGCGCCAGCTATAGCAGAGTGGATTATACATTGCAGTAGTAGTGGTGACGGGTACACAGTCGTCAAAAGCCTGACGTCCCTGGACGAGGTAAGAGTAAGGCTGTACCAGGCTACGTAGTGATTATAACAATAAAATAACATTAGCCACTCGTAGCCTCATGGTCATGGACGGGCCTTGAGGAACGGACCGTCAGCGATAGGACTGGGATCTGAGTCTTTGTTTCTCCGTCCAAGCCGGGGTCGCTCTCAGTCAGTTCAAACAGATGACGCGGTGAAATCAAGCGCGTCTCTCTCTCTACTTGACGCACTATAACAAACAAATGAGGGGGGAAAAGAAGAAGAAAGAGGCTTGCCGTGGAGAGCTGGGAACTTTCGGCGGCGTCTGAGGCTGTCGCCTCTAATAAGCTTTGGCTTGGGCCTGTCTTTCATCGTGTTGGGCATTCTGCTCAACCTCAGAACGTGGAGCTACAATAGGCGTCAAGAGACAATAGTAGCCATGTGAAGTAATGAATTGCTAATAGAGGCAGGTAAAATATGGATGGATGGATGTACAAATCAGCCGAATTCTTCACCTAACGGAATGCAAGTCAACCACATCTCAACGGGCACGGCGCCTCCCTCCCTCGAATACCGTAACCTCGACTTAGCCATGCTTTGCTTCAACGCTAGCAATCTCAACCAAATCTCCATCAATAGCGTAGTATTCTTTGACCTACTTGGTGCTATTCGAAAGGGCACTGGATCAAAGAGAATTTATAGAAGCACAAGGTGAAAGAACCAGGTGTGCCAGTTGAATACTAAGGTGAACGAACCCGAAACTAGTATTGGACCACAAAGACGCGGCAATTCAAGGTTTAATGCCCATGGCTGCAGAAGTCAAACTACCGCGAGGTTCACCCGTCGCCAACCGGCTCAGTGTGAGTGAGATCAGTCGCAGGCATGATGGGTGGCAGACTGCTGTAGTTTGAGTGAGGATAAAAGCCATCTGAGTCATACAGTATGGGGCAACGAAACACACCCGACAGCCCTGAACAACATCCATTTCGTTCAGTACATTCCCTGTTCCATATCGTGACAGGAATTGCTTCAGAGGCTCTGATGATTGACAGACAACATACCTAAGTGAGGAGAAGGACATGAGGTTCATGGCATACCTACCAAGAAGGGAGGGGCGTTTTAGCGCGGTAGTCTGTCCCAGCAGTAAGGAAAGGTATAATATAGATAGGTAGGTCCCGAACAGAACTTCCAAGTGAGGCCAGTAAACCAGGCCAAGGTAAGGCACGAAAATGGAATACAACAGAGCGGCACAGATCATTGCAAAGAAGAATTGGTGCTGCTAACCCAGTGCATGGTTTCCTGCAGCACACAGCCCTGCCCTGCCCCGACACACCACCTTGGCCTTGAACCAAGAATCGGCTATTGCATGAGACCAGTGGTACCTTACAGCAGCCGAGGGCCAAACAATCAGCCGATACGGCGCCTGGCGATAGGTCCGATCAGGGAGACGCCGGCCAAACCCCAGCTGGAGTTGGGACCTTGAAGCAAAGCTCCAGCCAAGAAAGATCACGTATCCCACAACTGACAGGAGTTGGAAATAGCACTTTCATGAATGTGTGCGCGTGTGTGTATGCACGGGCAAGCAAGCGTCTCGTGTGGGCCTGGTCTTGTCCGACCAAGGAAGACAAACAAACAGTGTGCGTGCGTTGAATTAAGAATGATAAAAAGAGTTGAAAAGCTCGTGAAGGCCCGTTTGGAAAAGTCATAGTTGATCGACGTACGTAAGAGCTGGGAGGAGGGTACTGATAGCCTGGAAATGGCCGAACCTATCAGCTGTCAGATCTGCCATGAGCTTGGAACCGACTTACTAGATGTGGTCTCAACCTGACCCAAGACGTCGTATCCAATTCCAGTCAGATAGGCCATGGTCAACTTAACCATCTCTACAGGGAGACCAGAAAGGCCGGATCTGGCCTTGGCTATGGATATTGCAAAGAATATCTTTATGTGTTGTGTTTTTTTGCTACTGGTTTCGCAACAGCACAAGTGCCCAATTAAGGGTTGGTGTGCGTGTTAATCTGCCAGGATTCCTGGGCACCTATCCCTTCGGTTGGGAACAGGGACAGAATAATAAACGCTACTAGGACGTTGCGTTGCGGGCGGAATGTCTTAGGATCTTTTTTGGAGCCCTGAACCTTGGGCTGCGTGGTCTGGGGTCCTGCGCTTGTTCCCGACGGCGGGTTGCAGAGACGGCCGCAGGATGCACCACCAGCGTGGTGTAACAGGGCGTGTCAGATGTGCTGGGTGTGTAGATTGAACCAATTGCCCTAGTTGTATTCTGTCCAAGATGAGCAAGAGGGGTCGCCGTCAAGGTGTGGGTTTGTACCTTTACCACCATAATGTTGAGAGGAGAGAGCAACTGAACCCTGGCAACGGTCGTGGGACCTGGCTGGAACCTCGGTGCGGCGGATTCGAAGCCATGGAAGACGATAGTGGGAATGGCCGACACAGTTAGCTAGTGTCAGTGTCCCATCCATGCGAATGCCCTTGGTATAATTCATGCAGCTCGACCGCCCTCTGCCACCAAGGTCACTCGCAACTTACTAGTATGACGGGTGAGCTGTGACTGACTGTTCCCTTCACAGTTCACCATTCCATTCTTGTCAAGTCTCACATGTGCCCCGGTTGAGATTTCATTGTCTTCAAGTCAATTTTGTATCATTCCTTCGGGTCAAGAGCTGCCGCGTAGATACCTAAAGCAGAACTCAGCAAGAGTAGCATGATCAACATGTATGTATATGCTTGGGCGAAACAGATTGATTCGCAGAATGTGCCGCTCAGTAACTTGTCTATCGAACAAGCTGTCAACCGCACACATTGATCACAGGTCCTTCGAGATGTTGATGTAACGAGGCATTGATTTGACTTGATGGAAACGAGTAAGTAATAGATAGCTTGACGACTTTGCGTTATTGCGGGAGGAAGGCCAGGTTTTGCCAAATGATCGCGGGTTACCTGGGACGGTCCGGCCTGCATTGGTATGGATGCTGATGCTGGGCACTCAGTACAAGGGTATGGTTCTTGGGACGCTACAACGCTGGGACCTGCGATCCTCTCTCTCCCCACGCCACCCTGTACAGAGTACCTATTCGTGGTGAACACGTACCTGGGTACCTAATGTCAGAACTACTGCCGCCGTGCGGCAGAGCAGGAGAACCGTTACAGTTCTTGACGGCATTGTCGGTGAACACACATCTCCTTCTTCCGATTTAATTCTTCAGTTAATACCATATCAGACCATATGGTATTAGTTGTATGGCTTCACGTTTCAAGCCCTGATCAACCCGACTGGGAGGGGAGCTCACGACTAAGTGTCATGATGCTCTCATCCAGGCAGTGGCCAATCACCGTTGAATGGTGTAGGCATTCATCAATGGCAATATACGAACAGGATCATCAGAATGTGATGAAAGCCTCCATCACCCTTCTTGAACGTGATGTCGTTCCTAGAAGACAAGCGAGGGACTGCAGTACAACTAGCAAGCACCAGCTCCCATCCTCTCACCGCTATGGATGGTATCGAGGGAGTAGTCAGCAACGAGATAGCCATATCGCCGCATTAGAATATGTCATGGCATGATAAGAAGCATGAAGGGTTCTCAAAAGTATTCCTAGTCGCATTAAGAGTCGTTGATTCTCTGGTGTTTACTAACCCCTAGTAATATCGGCAAACAAATCTGCGTATAACCTTTGGGCGTGATTGCTCAATACGACGCAGCGCTTTCTTGAGTCGACACTGTCATGTAACAACTCTCGCATCGGATTGTCTCGAAAAGGGAATACCTTTAAACCGCGGTGTAGGTACGATGCCGGAAGCTACCCTGCAATGCCAGGAGTTCCAAGATTGTATGTTCAGTATGATTAAGTTCTCTTCTGGTGGCCTAGAGCATGAATGTGAGTTAAAATGTTGGTAGAATCTTGTATCCATACCATCGAGGGTTACCTGGGTATACCAAAAGGTTGGTTGTTGTCCAGTCCAACAAGGGCTCATTATTGCTGGATGATATCTGTCAATATGATGCAGTGCGGTTCAACCCGCAACTTTCAATATAGCGCCGGACTTGATAACCCAACGCACTGTGAATCCCCGCCTAAACACGAGGGCATCTAGCACGTACATCCATTCGCTTACCACCCCTGCTTCGTCGCCCATGTGCCCTTAATGTCCCTTTCCCTTACCCTTCTTGGGTCTGGCACCACTCCTTGACAACCCCCTTGGGTGACGAGCATCCACACGACCAAGACGACTCATGCAGGTCGACAACATTCAACTCCATGCTCACTCATCGGCGCCATGTCATATTTGGCTCGGACCAGTCAGACACGAGAAGGCGCACAGTGTGTTTTCAGACAAATCCAACAGAACGGGTGCCTTGCGCTTTTCCACGCAGTAGATCGGGCCATGGCACACAACACACAGACAGAGGCTTTGCTTTGCATGCCTGATGACCCCTCAGGATTGCTCTATCAGTTTCATCCCTCATGGCTCAAGACTGCATGTTTTATTTTATAATTTAGTCAACCTCCACATGGCTCAAAACTCTTCATCAGAGAAACACCAAGGGTCGAGTTAAAGAAACTGATTGGCGTCTTGGTTCGCTTGTGTTTGCACGTTTGGTCTCAACTTCGTACTATCAGCGTGGCGAGTTATCCTTACGCATCAAGTTATGCTCTGCCGGAACCTCTAGCCACGATGTCGAACACATTTGTCTATATCAGACGTATTTCGATTGCTGAGGTGTATTGAGAAACAAAAAGTAATAAATAAATCAATTAACACATACAGAAATGAAATATGTTACTGCTGATCTGTGAGAGGTTTGGTTAACACAACAAGCAAGTTTCCATGCCGAACACCAAGCCTTACTAATCATTATCATCATCGTCATGACAGGATTTGCTGCGGATGGCCACAATAGACAGGGTTGTTTTTGAAACGATCTCGCTCAATGCTCACTATGCCGGCTGCAAATAAGCGAGCGGCGTTGTGGATGGCACGACGGACTGACTGCTCATCCCGATTCCGGAGTGTACTGAGCCATTAATGTAAATAATAATGTGATGCAGGCCGACAGGTCAAATCTCCCGTCATGACAAGCCTGGGGTTCAGCTCAGCTATTGGCTAGCTGGTCTTGTGACCACACCGAATCGTTGGATGCTGGATCGTTATGTCTTTATCGCCCGTGGCCCGTTGAGTGTCACGAACTCTCACTGTGGAGCAAGGCTCCGGTTCTCTGGAAACCGAAATGGATTTTTTTTTGGCGCTATCAGGGACGGTGCTTGTTCATACAATTGCTATCAACCAATTAGAGCTTGAATCCTCCCTCTCATCTCTAGCCACATCCAAGGCACGGGAGCGGCGGCCTTTGAGGCTTCTTTAGTTCTGGGCAATGAAAGTCTGTTTTGGAGGGCGTGTTTTGGGAAAGGCTGCGCTTGCGGAGCTTCGAGTAAGTGTGTGGACACTCATCAGCTGAAAACAATGCTACAACAGATCTGTAATGTATAACGGACTGAAGAGAAAGCGTGAGACACAACCATAATGAATTGCATCCTTCGTCGTAACATCCTGACCATTAGCGTCATAGGTGGGATGGATGGACCAACAAGTCATTTGCGTCAGATTGCTGGTATCCATGATGCTCAGAGAGCCGAGAGCCTAAAACCCTTTGTTAAGCACGGCTGGGGGATTGGACGTCTTGAAAATAAGAACCAGCCACGACCGCCAGCGTGGCCTGCTTGTTCGTACTTGAGCCGCCCACAGAGAAGGCTCATCCCGTCCCGTGTACTACGCCCAAACCCTCCTTCATCATGCATTTCCCTTTCCCATTCGCCAATTGTGCGATTCTTGATGATGACCTTGTCAAACAATGCAAACCAGTAATGCACGATGTTACGCTTTTGCTTGCCCGTGCAGGACAATATGCATCTTTGATACGTGTAAGAAGACCGAAACCCACATTTTGGTGGTTGGTGGTTGGTAGGCTATGCTCGTGGTGATGGAGACACGCAGCCTTTCCCAGAACTGGGTTGTTGACCGCCAGACGAGAGAAGAAAGCCGTTACTAACGCTGGTCAACGCCGTCGCTATTAACCCATGTATTGGCCTTCGGCACGGACAATGTCGCGGGACTTTCAAAATGGTAAACTCGGCTAAATTTTCTAGTGTACGTGGACCGCCGACGGCCACTCTGCATGTAGTCACAGAGTTGAGGTGCATATGATCCTGACCGTATTGTCTGTCACCCATCAGTCGATCCATTGATGGTGAGACACGCACCGAGAATGGCGCGCGGCGGTTGATGTGAGATAGGGACATTAGTTCATATAATCACTAGCACTGGAAAGCAATAAGTTTGTGATTCAACTGCCGGTAAGCAAGTGAAGGGTTACGCATTCATTCATTCATTCATAGATAGCATAGGTAATTTGAAATGGCTCGTGAGGAGTGCATACCTAGGTACCTTCTTCCATGGTAATCTGACGCATTGGCTGTTTTCTAGTGGGCCCGGGGTGGTGCCGTCTGACCATACGGGGCATGCGGCTTGCGGCTTCTAGGTGCGCGTCGGGCCGCAAGGGCTATCCCGTCTAAGAAAGGGAAGGGGTTTGAAGGGAGATAATTTTTGCCAACCCGGCAAGCCGCGTCAAGTCTGCTTCACGTGAATTGCCTCCAGGATTTCCCTCAACGGGTGGAAGGTGCAGCCCGGCAGCCAGCCATCCTTCCTACCTGGGATACAATCCATCAATGATCAATTGCTGACCCTGGGCAAAGCTCGGTTGCAATACGCCTCCTCACGGGACATTGCGTGTCCAACCTTGTCGTATGCTCATCGAATTGTAGCAGTCCCACTGTGTATGTCGGTCGCCCAGAGCTGATATCCAGCCTACAGCAAGCGTGGTGCGCTAGATCCTGGCGATGGGGAGTGGTATGGTTAGGGTGTGCATTGACAGGACGCATCTATCTGGGAGCAGATGTTACATAGTAGCATGAACAGGACAACTGTGTACGCGAACACGACCTATGCGCTGTGATGGGGCGCGATGGGGTACGCTGTTGTATCAGCGCCTTCGAATATACATATCTTCATCCATCCAGAGAGCAGGGGCAGAGTGCTGGCGTTGGAGGCCTAGGTATTGTGTGCCACTTGTCTGCTAACCCCTAACTGTTCGCTTAGACAAGCGGAGCTGCTTGAACCCCCGGCCTACATAAGACCATGACAGTATCGCAAACTGGCCTATCAAATCACAGAATCATTTGTGTTCCAATAGGAACAGGCGGCCTTGTCTGTCGTCTCCGAAGATGGTCAAGTAACTGGAACGGCAGCAGCCCTTGCAATCGAAACAAACGACATCGAGGTGGTGGTTACCTTCCTCACATGATGGCTGGGACATGGTATGTTAGAAAAATGCAGATGACGGTCTAAACCCCTCGGCGTCTCTGATCTTTCTACTCACATGACCAGAGTGAGCTGCAGTAACAGGGAGCATCGAAGTGGACAGACCCTGACGAGTCATATTAGTAAAGATACACGTTTTGATGACCGGACATACTATATCTAAAATATGTCAAAACGATGCCAGCGACAAAATAAGTACATATATACCATCTTTAGGCACCGTGTTGTTGAGCAGCTGTAGATGGAATAAGATCACACGCTGTAAACTCGTCTGTGGCTAATCGAATAAGGGCAGTGTGGCGCATGAAGGCAACTCAATGCAACGCCCGATATTCCACCAGGTAACTGAATACCCAAAGTAATGAGGAATTGAATTCATGGAAGAACGGATTAGCATCTTGGTAATAGATATTATCTAGGTAATGACTAATGTCCGTAGAATTTGTGCCAGGGTAGGAACGTGAAATAGAAGCCCAGGGTTACCTAGGCAAACAGGTGCGCGTTGGTAAAAATCGTACCTGTAGTGGAAGTGACAGTCAAATTAGGAAGGAACGCTTGATTTCCATGCCAATTGCCCTCTGCCAGTTGTTCATCGCTTAACCCTCTCAATATGTCAATTTTTGCAAGGTAATCTAAACATTTCAAGAAACTCACGCTTGAGTCGCCGGGACTCATGCTCTTGAAATTCTATCTCTATTTACAGATTCTCTTATCCTCTGCTTGTACCACACCCTCGCTTTACTTGGCAAGGGGCTCTTCCTCCGCCGGCCTCTAACAAAAGTTGCCTTTTCTTTTCCCCCTTCTCCTGTTTTCTTCGGCAATGGCAATAATCAACCCCCTTTCCTCCATTGATACAGACAGGTACACACGAGGTACACAACAAATTCTACGGTTAGGAATTGTAGTGCCACTTGCAATTGTCTTATCAACAACATGCAGGAGTCGTCGAGTTAGACCAATATGTTCTACCACACAGAACAGTGCCAGAATGCTACACTCAAAAACCAGAAGCAGAAAATGCAGCTTGGGAGACATTGATTTGTGATAAACCCTGTCACTGAGCATTGGAGTAGTGATATTACCCAGTAAGAATAACCAGGAATGCTAAAGTAGAGGGTAGTTCTATGACAATTTCTTATTGTTGAGTTGGCGCACGACCGTGCCATGACTTGACACATGTCGCACTTTGACTAGGATGAACAAACGGCTGGTGTTGACTAGGCTTGCCACAGTCAGTCTCTCAGTACGGAAAAAGCCCAGCCAACAAGTGAGAAATACACTCTGTAGTACTGTACGGTACAAGATCGGCAAGGGAGATTCAGGTCGATGCACCGATTGATATCAGGCTGTGATATTGCAGTAATGGCTACATGCACCGCAACCGGCATCTACCATATCACACCGACACTTTTCAATTTCAACCAACCAACCTTATAGGACAGTAGTACTAGTACTCATAATAACTCACCATTTCTTCTCCTGGAAAACCTGGGGTTGGTGTCAAGATTGACATTAGATGACTTGAACCACACCATGCTTGTCTGCCATAACCAGGGCTCCATCGCATGGGCCCACCTCAATTGGCCTGGCTCAGGCAAGGCCCGGTCCGCCAATCGCACACGTCGAGCTACAGTCACGTGATGCAAAGCTCATGCGGAAGACCCCTGCGAGCTCGGGTAGACTGCATGTCTCCCGCGATCAGTCCCGGTTTTACTCGGGTGCCGTGGCTTTAATGGTCGGGCCGCCATACCTTAATGAGACAGGCGAGGTTACCGTGTCATGGATACGATTGTTGGCTTGGGGGGTGAGCTGCTTGAGCTTGAAAAGGGAAAGAAAAAAGAAAAGACAAAAAAAAGGGGAAAATAGGTTGCATAGCCAATCATTCAATTGTTCTTTTAATTGGGTGCGACAGACCCCCTCTCCCCCCCCTCCCCCTCAAAAAAAAAAACTATCTCTGCTGGGCCGTAAAAAGCAATATGCATGCAGAATGGACTCTCAGATGGTGAGGATGACAGAAGAAGAAAAGGAAAACAAGAAAATGAGTGTAAGGGTCAACAGCTGTTGTAGCTGCATTCATCCATCAAAGCCTGCCACGTCGCAATTTTACGGCGCGGCACGGTCGCTGGTCACCTTGCGCCATCCCGGGCTGCATGTCATCCCCTACGCCGCCATGGGTATGTGATACTGCACTGTACTGTACCGTGTTTGTTGTACAGTGCGAATATACAAGGGTACACGAGCCGATGCTTGCTGTTCCTATTCCAATATTGGAAGAGAACCCGCAGTCAGCCAGCCCCTTACTGAGTCCCCCTGGTCTGCAGAGGATCATGCCAATTGCATTAATCCAAGTTTTGCCCACAACTTGGTCTCAGTCTAATCTGACAATAAACCCACAATGCCAGAACAATATGTTATCCATCCGTCTAACGATCCGGTTGAAACCGCATCAAGCAGCTTTATTTGTAACAAACGGCACTGCGAAAAAGCAAGACCAACGATGCATACAGGTACACTCCTCCAGCACCACGAGACCTCGCCTACATGCACGGCAACCTGCAGGCTGAAGAGTGCGCGTTGGCTTTGTCTGTAGTCACTCATTGTATGATGAGATGGACCCCCTTGTGCGAAAACACGCCCCAAAATCATGCTTGCTTCGTTGAGTACACCTCACATCTGCCTTTTACGACGCGTGTCGAAGGGGGTTTATTGCAGCGTTTTTGCTCATTCCAAGTATTTACCACCTAGGTAGGCATGCACGTTTGCGACACAGGTGCTGTACAGTTAGTACAATTGGAGTCATCATAAGCAAAAAAAAAAAAAACATGTCTGTTACCGGTACCAAATACAAACTGTGCCGAGCGACGGTGAGCGTGCAGTAACTAATATCTGAGATTATGAGCATCGAATGCAGTGACAAAATCAGGGCGACGAGGTGGACAATAACCCCTCTACATCAAAGATGCTTGCCCTTTCAGTATTCATCTGATGAGTTGGATAATCTTTCATGGTCATCTCTTAGCTCCTTTACTCGCTCACCACGTTGGCAGTCATCGTTGGGTATACAAACAGGAGACCCATGTCGTCTAGGAAGGCAGATATATCTACCTGACACACAAAGCAAGGGGATAGACATGGTTATCATATTAGCAGACCCAAGATGCACCAACATACGGATACCGCTTGCGAATAATGGAGATTTAATTATCCCTTCCAGACTCACCGATCAGCGCTGACCATGATCAAACCCCATCCTCCCTTTCTTCTCTTCGGACTTGCGTACATCAAGCCTCACAATGCAAATTCCGACGAACCAATACTCCACGGATGCGGCTACCTGTCTGCCGCATTTGCACACGTTCTATTTTAATTGCTGACCCCTCCCTATATTTGGTGCACTGTCAATCGTTGGCGGACCGGCGCGCTCTTGCTGCCGCAGGACCAGGGTCATTCCATTCGACTTGGATCTGGACCAGCTGTCTTTGGATTGAGATGTGCTCAAGGCGACCAAGTTCACTGTAGTGCATTCATAAATGTAATCCAAGCCACAGAACCCCTAGCCTGCCCCGACTTGTTGGGTTAACATTCTGGCTACTAATAAATGCATTGCAGTATGACTTGGGCAGGGCACCAAAGTTATTACTTAGTAACTTACCTATGTTGGTCTAGAGCACTGCAGCCGCCCTTAGTCCAGCTCTCGGGGACTTCAATTGCGGGGGTCCTTTTCTTTGTCATCGACATTGGATCGCTCGCGGAGATATCCTCATAAGTCTGCGACACGAGGTAACTGCCCGAAAACTCCCCGGCCTTCCGTATAAAATGGCCAAACTGGACAAACGACAGATGCTTGTCTAACAAGACAACCGCCGCATTTAACACTCTGTGAAACCCTGTTCCGGGCTCTCAACAAGCACACGTTTGTCTTATGAGACACTACCCGTTTCTCTTCTTGTACAACCTGTCCTCTATCGCATTTGGCACCAGTAACGACTCTGTCACCATGACCGACCTAGTGTCTGAAAACCAGGCTTACTTTGGGTACGTAAATATATTTGGCGAACACTGTATTGAGGCCAGTTCTGTTTGACGCTAGCACACCATGGACGGCGTGGGTGTTAGCCGTCCTGTGCTGCACGGTTTAGTGCAGTTAATCGCTAATGCAGTGCAATCACAGAAAGATCGCCAACGAGTACGACCAACGCAACGCAGATGCGATCGTGCAGTTGGAGCACAGTATTCAGCGCAGGATCCCATTTATCGGCATCAAGCAAAACGGCAGATTGCTAGACTACGCATGTGGTACTGGCATGCTGTCAAGGGTGAGCGGTTCCGTTCCATGAGATGCAACTCAAGAAGGTTAAATTAAAACTGACGGTGCATTTCAGGTGTTGGCACAGCATACGAGTGAGGCTATTGGTATCGATCTTTCCGAGCATATGGTTAATGTATATAATACCCAGGCTCAGAACCAAGTCAGTGATACCCTCCAACGAAGAACCCCAGCCTATTATTGGCCGGATGTTCGAGTCTCCAGGCATGGTGAACTATCCTAACAAGACGCAGGGCTCTTCTCGACTGGCCTTTCAGGGCAACTTGGCTGATCCTACAGACGTCTCTCCTGAGGCCTTTACAGACTCCAAGTTCTTCGGCTTCGACGTTGCAGGTGTAGGGCTCGGATTCCATCACTTTGACAAACCTGATCTGGCGTCTAAGAGACTGGCCGAGCGTCTCAAACCTGGGGGTGTTCTTTTCATCATCGATTTTGTCGCCCACAAGATAAATCCCCAGGATGCCGCGAAGCGTGGTATCGCGCACCATGGCTTTTCAGAGGAACAAATCAGGAAGATGTTTGAGGACGCTGGTCTTACCGACTTTGCCTACCAAGAACTCCCAGAGCCTATTACATTCAAGGATCCGATGGGCCATGGCCATAACCACGGACACACACATGATGGAAGACACGCCGATGGCAAACACGGGCATGGAGAGGGCTATGATGACCACAAGGGCCATTCCATGACCAAGCGAGTGTTTATCGCCAGGGCATCGAAGCTCTAGTACTTTGATGGCTGTGCCTTTCTCATTCAGATGTACTTGGGATTGTGAACTCTAGTAATAGAAAGGCCTGGACAAGATCCTCTATCGTCACAATGGCATAATTACTAATTGATGAACAATTCAGAGGTCCGACTACTACTACTACTACTACTACTACTACTACTACTACTACTCTCAGCCGTTTCAATCGATCGATTGATCTCAATACGTTTATGGCAGCTAAACATTATGCCCTGTACTACAATCTATACAAATAGTGTCATGTCATTCCACATGACAAAATATCTTTGTTAAGGCCAGCTAGGGCCTTGCGCGATTACGTAGTATAGTACCGCATCATCCTCGGGCACTGGAATAAAAATTTACACTTGACCTAAATTATGAAACCCAACTGCAATCTAGGAGTGGGCTGACCCATGTGGATATTGGGTTGCACTTCAGAAACACGGCTTCAAGGGCTACCTGCCCGGCAAGTGTAACCCAACTTCTCCTCTGCTGTCCGATAAATCTGGGATAGACCTAATCAGTCCGGATAACTTCATTCTTGAGCATTCCCTTCACACCCTTATATCAGCTGGACCGTCCCGTCCCGCTTTTGCAGCTGACCGGTAAAAGTTTCTTGATAATATGACGTGCGGATACGTTCTTCTTCCGGTGATAGCCATCATTCTTTATTATCAAGGGATACCGTGAACTATGCTTGGCGTATTACTCGACATACTTGGAGTACATCATGCGAAATTGGCCATGACGTCTTCGAGCTAATGGGTTCGAGAAGGGAGACACTGGTTTGTCCGGTGCGGCGCGATCCCGTGTCTAGGACACAAGGAGTGATATCATGTGCGTGCCGCCTCTTTCAGCCTCATCCGTGCTTCCAGAGCGTCCAAGTATGGGGTGGACTGAGTTGTGCGACGAGGCGTTGTGCTTTTGTAGCGTTTCGTTACACGCCCTTCTTCACTAAGAGATATTCGGATTAAGATTGCTGAACTAGTGTGAAACAGTTTTGATTGTGAAGGCGGTGACACCGAACGGAGGTTTAGTCATTTGCGTCAAAGACACCAGCGTAGAGAAGGCCTCTCCCTCTCGGGACCTGGAGTCGTCTGTGCAAGGTCAGCTTCGATTCTTGAAACATTTGCTGCTTGTGTAATGATAGGTGTAATATCAGAAGAATGTCTGCTCGGCGGGAAATTATGTATTGCCATCCCTGGACTAGGGCGACATGGCCCAGATGTTGGTGTGATCTTGGAAGCAAGTTTATTAAATGACCAATTATATAGTTTAACAAACCACCAAGTGGAATGCACTTGGAGGTATGGCATGTGCAGTGGCTAATTGTCTTGGCCATCTAGTTCAACCACGAAGGCGCCGCCCAACAAGAGTGCTGGTTCTTCGATTCTGTGATGTTCATAACTTGGGCAGCATTAGCATCCGTGTACGTGAAGTGGCCGCCGTATTACAACTTACCTCAGAGTTCCGACACCACCTGCTTCTAGCAAAAAGGTTGGACCTTCTCGCAAAGCATAACCAGCCCACCTCATGGCAAAAGCACGAAGGATGTGTCCATGAGCAACAAGTAAGACATCACCACATTGTTCGCTTCTTTGGTTCATGGCTGGCTTATGCCATTTCTCTCGAATCTCTTCTATCAATTGATCGAGTCTCCTGGTGACATCATGCGGGCTCCTAGTAACAATGTTAGATTGACAAGATCATTGATGAAGGTGGGAAAAGAGTATAGGGTAAGTTGAAGATCGGGTTCACTTACTCTCCACCTGGACAACCATCCTTCCATATATCCCAGGACCCCTTGATCCCCTTTTCGGCTCTGATCTTGCGAATTTCAGGAGATGTGATTCCTTCGTAGTCACCATAGTCCCACTCTCGGATATAATCTGTCACTTCGACCTCGGCCTCACACTGCAGGCCAGTCCCATCAGGGGTGTCGCCGTGTGGTGTCCAGGGTAGAGGACGGCTAAGTCCCAGATTGAGCAGTTCAAATGTACGCTGAGCACGCTTTCGGGGTGATACATAACTGTGATATATGTTAGCCTGTACGATAAAAAAGAAGAGCAAAGGAATGCGACTCACATATGAGCGATCTTCTTGGGAGCAATGAGACGGTCCGGGCCGACAAGAGCCTTTCCCGTTGCCTTCACGCGCTTCTCACCATTGGCAGTAAGAGGGATGTCAGTCAGGCCAGTATGACGACCATCAAGCGACCACTCTGTCTCACCGTGGCGAATGAGGAAAACACGGGGGGTTGACATGGTTTAATGCTCAGTGAGAAGGATTGAATGATCTCTGGAATCTGGCTAGGGAAATGAAGAAGAAGCTTTTTTAAGTCTCGCAAAGCAGCCCAAGACTGTCTTTATTTGAGTTAGCACTATTCTCCAAATGGTGAATTGGAAAATGACTTGACATGAATATAGCCTATGAAGGTGGGGTTGAACAGACCACGCTCAAGTTTCGGAAGCTGATGTTGAAGAAGGAGGGAAAGGCAACTTTTTAATAGTCCAGCTTATCAGTAAGCGACTGGTATATTTGGAGAAGCACTAGGAAAATAGACAAGAGGTGCAAGTTTGAGGGAAAATGGATTATATCGAAACTTGTTTTTGGTGTTGCGGTGGATGGATTACGTTTGAGTGACAACCCCCGCCATTAGCCAGGTAATGTCTTATGAGAGGGGCAAGTCACTTTCCGTCTGCCCCTAATATCGTTCCTCCAATATATGAGGTAGGCAGGTAGTTACTTAGTAATTATATTACTAATGGGGGAGTAGGTCAGAGAACCCTCAAATCGGAATGTGAATAAAGTATTGCCTGTTGTCTGGTGGTTCCAGATGTTGACAGTTGTTAAGGTACGAGGTGGTTGCGACGAAACTCGGCCAGAAACAATGTATAATTACAAGACACATAATCACTTAAAGTACGCACATATCTACCTGTCAAATCAGATCAGTTTCTGTGATCATTGAGGAAAGTTATAAGTTCCCTATCAGTAGGAGGTAGGCAGTACTAATAATCCAGCCAGTTATTGAGTTAGTACCTACCCCAAGCCGTCAAGTTTACAATTTCTTTACATCTAGGTACCTACCTTCCGGGGCATGTTTCCTCGAATGGAAAAAAAGTCTCCCCACCAAAATCTTAATTATAACAATATTACCAATTATTACCAATATCCTTTCTCTAACTATACCTGCCTACTGCCCATTATTACGCTTGTGGTTGTGACATCAGTAAGACTTTAAACCCCCCACGATGCCCCTCCTCCCCACTCTAGCTTCAGCTGCAGCTTGCTTAGTCAGGATTATCACCAATCCGCCTTTATCATTGTTAAAGATCCACCCGGTGGTCGCCCCCATCGATCTCCGCGACGCCGATAATTCTTCTTCCGTAGCCCGGCACCGGTCCGCCTCCGAGTTTCTCCAAGATCCGCCGTCGCCGACTCCTCCGATCGAACTTCAGATTCTCTCCTCTATACCGAGTCCTCCATCTTCACAACCGCCACCGCAGCTGGAAGTCAACTCGACGGGCTCAACCGTTTCAGCAACGACTTCGGCTTCTTCAACCTATCGCCGGCTGTCACCTCGAAAGCGTAGAGAACTGTCGGAGCAGGTCTGGCGGGAGTATTAGTGATACCATTGACCTTATCCTGGAAACAAAATGGCTGTGCACAAGTGGACACGGCAGGAAAAGTTCAAGCGTGGTGTTTGGGCTGTCGCTTTTGCAGCATGCATTTTTGCTGGAACTATCACCGGCGCGCAGCTAAAGACGGATAACGAGAAGAAGGAGGTAGGTCGTTACCTACAATCCTCCTCAGAGACCGGTCATTGACAATCGTGACAGGCCATTCAAGAATTCCGGGCCACGTCCCCTAATGAGCAAATCGCTGCCCTGCTTTCCCAACGAAAGTCTTTAGTTTCACAAAAGGCAGTTCTTCAGAGGAAAATCGATGCTTTCGACATTCGTGTTAAAGAGCGTGAAGCTGAGAAAGCAAGGAGAGACAGCGATTCATCATAGCGACTGCTTTAGAGTTGATGCTGTTGTACTATCATATTGTAACCTTTACGAACATTGCATTAGAACCTGATACAGGGATTGGCGTTATTCACTGGACACAAGGAGTCGGATGGCTGGTGCGGGAATAGTATGACCAAATGTACGAAAATATGCTTGGAATAACAAATGAACAAGTCAAGTGTTCAGCCGACAGACAGACGATGCCAAAATTTAGACTTTGTTGATTGAGGGCTGTTTGTTATGCTCTCCCCTACGCCTAGCTGGCCATGCCATATCCCCCCTTATCCATGTTGATTCGTTGGTTCATCCCATGTCATGTCCATGTAATAATATACTTCTGCGTATGTAGTAGACTTTCATTCATACCATTTTCTTACTCCATAACACCTTCGGCAGAAGGCAAAGGAATGGCGCAGTATAGAAGAACGAGAGCAGAATGAGACTCACCTCCACCAGCAAGTGTGTCGATCTTCTCAGCTTCAACTTCTGTCACCTTGTCATCGTTGAACCACCACCACTTGCCATCCTCCTCACCCTTCTTGCCAGTCTTGGGGTCAACAGGAGCAGCCTTCTTAACATAAGAAGTGTAGTGACCACTGTCTGCGCTGGCACCTTGGTGTGTTATGACACCGCGGAGCTCATAAAGACCAGACTGGTTAGCACCATCTTCGTTTCGCAAGTCAGGGTTGATGAGTGCGTTCAGCTCCTTCTTGGCCTCAAGGATGGAAGCGTTCCTTTCAGCCTCGATGTCGGCGTCAGTCTTGTATGTCTCACCCTCCTCGCCCATAACAGTGTCCCCATCAGCCGGCTTGCCCTCCTGCTTCTTCTCGGCTTCCTTTCTCTCCTTCTCGGTAGGAAGACCAGCACCGCCAGGGATATCGCCGACGTCCTGGTCATGAGTCTTCTTACGTCTCTTGCGAGCACGCTCAATATCCTCCTCATCCTTGCGAATCTCGCGAACCTTGTCGCGCACAGGAACCAGAGCGCTCTTCAGCTCATCGGAACAGAACTCAACAATATCAAGCTCCTTTGGGAAAGTGACTTTTCGCATGATCTTGGCCTTCTTCTGCGTCTCTCGTTTCCAGAAGAAACGCACAAAATGCACAGTCAAGTATTTAGGAGCACGGGAGATCTTGGAGGTTCTGGTGTAAAGAGCATTGCGGCCTAGAACCTCAGACTCTTTCTCAAACTTTTCCTCCAGTGCGGCAAGAATACCGTCTCGGAGATGGTTCGTCGAGCTGTCGATGTGGCAGTTGAGTTTGGTAAATCTGTCCGTAGCGACGACGGGCACTTCGCCCTCAATGGAGGCCTGCTCCTCGTCGCACTTCAGTACAGAAGAAAACTCACCAGTCATATACTTCTCCACAAAGGATTTCTTGGATGAGTTTTCACTACCAGTGATTTGGAGCTTCTGGTTAAGTTGCTGCACGATCTGGGACCAAGCCTCCTCTGCATCCTGCTGAGCATAGCCTTGTCCCGTCTTGGACTTTTCCGCGAATTGAGGGAACACGGCCCGCAGAGCACCCAGGAAGGTCAGGGGGGGCAAGGGTGCCTGTGTTGTTCCCATCCTCTTGTACAGACTCGAAAGTTGAGATGCAATGTCTATGTTTGTGCCTGCCGTCATGAAGTTGCTGCTGCTGCCGCCACTCTCAGGAATGTACTTGTCTAGAGCATCCTGAAGCTCAGGGATCACACGTAGGGTCTGGAGAGTGGAATTGAGGTAGCATGTGTTTCCAAGATTGATAAGACCGGCAGGAGTCGCACCGACTTGTTGAGCTTGCTCAGCTTCTGTCATGTCCTCGACAAACTTGATGGCCTCTTTCGGTCGGACAAGCTCACCACCGCCAGCGCTCGGGGTACCCATCATCATGATAACTTGGCCGGACTTCAGGCCCAGTTTGCTCATGTCGGCATCATCCTTGAGTTGGCCACCCTTTATGAGGATCTTTTGGCGTTCAGGCTCCACATTGGTTAAACTGAACATTTGGAGCTTGAAGTCTTCGCCGGTGGAGCTGGGATCGATTTCGACATCGTGCTTTTTCCCCTGGTGTTTCACTACGACTACTGGAGGTAAGAAAGTGATTTCAAAGCAATGCGGCGAAAAATGACTGACCTGAGATGGAAGACATGGTCGTGGTTAATCGGAACTTGAAGGCTTGAGGTGGGGTGCTGGGTGATTAAGTAACTGTGGAAAGAAGATGCCGTCTATTCACCCTCTTCCTGAGAATCCCAAGATATAAAGAAGAAAAAAGAATAGAAGGAAGAGAACAAGTCAAGAATGCATCCTCGTGAAGGTGTTGTTTGCAAAGGGACAAGGCGCAGAAGATGCTAGAGATGCGTCACCGAGTGGTACCTGGAGGAAGGCGAATTGTTAGTGGGGAAAGCGGTGTAGTTTCCGCGGGTCCCAGAGAGTCGAGGAGCTGTGGCTGTGACTGTGTGGGAAGATTAAAGCCACAGAGAGCTCTTTGAGGGTCAAGCTCTTTCACTGTCCAAGGTTTCCCCATTCATCACGGCCCCACCCAGAGAGATGGAGACATCAGGTCTGGCGACGCCTCATTAACAACTGCGCCTCAAGTTGTTGTAGCTCCAACCTCCAACGTCAACGTCAACCGACCCCGCCGAGCTCCGTGTTCTCCATCAACATCTCGATACGTGCTTCTGCCGCTTGTTTTAGAACGTCTTAGGACGTGCTTCTAGCCATGGTACAACCTCATTACCATTCAATGGACTGCAAGCTGACAGCTAACCTCTCCGCTTAGTCTCAATCCCTCCGACCTTACCTGCAATGCGTACGCAGCAGCTTGACCGCTGCGCTTACGCTTTCTAACTTTGCTTCTCAAACTGCTGAGCGACACAACGTCCCCGAGATTGAGGCACAGACATCACCCGAAGTCCTCCTCCAACCCTTGACTATCGCGCGAAACGAGAACGAACGTGTCTTGATCGAGCCCAGCATCAACTCCGTCCGTATCAGCATCAAGATTAAGCAGGCCGACGAAATTGAGCATATACTGGTCCATAAATTTACAAGATTCTTAACGCAACGTGCCGAGTCATTCTTTATCCTGCGAAGGAAACCGATCAAGGTCAGCCACTGGTTATAACATGTCATTATTGATCTGCCCCTGACTGATTGACTGATACAGGGCTATGACATCTCCTTCCTGATAACAAACTTCCACACCGAGGAGATGTTGAAGCATAAGCTTGTCGACTTTATCATCCAGTTTATGGAAGAAGTGGACAAGGAGATCTCCGAGATGAAGCTATTTGTAAGTGCCAGACCGCAACGTAAAATTACAGCCAGTAGATGCTGACCTACCATTAGTTGAACGCTCGAGCGCGATTCGTAGCCGAGTCTTTTCTTACACCTGTAAGAACCAACCTCAATTGACATCGCTAGATGATACTAACCATTAATAGTTTGACTAGACCCTCAGCTGGTATGAGGCTTGGAGTTCTCTCTTGAGAATATCGACTGTCGCAATGTATTTTTGGCCAAGCAAAAGTACGACAGCACTGACGTGCAGAGGCTCCGATAGGCGAGCTTCATGCTTTGGAGAGAAGGGCGGTTTAAGATAACGACATTGCCTAGATACAAACCTTACCGACCAAATCGAATTGAAATGCGAATCTTTCTGGAACAGCCTTTCGTTATTTGACAATGGCCCGCATAAGTGGGCATTGATGTTGATGGGTAGTTATAGGTCCTGGGCGAAATCCCTCTGTTATGTTGGCTACTAATTGATAAAATCCCCCAATTGAGAAGACAAACAACGTTTGAATGCCTTCTGTTGGTAATAACCTCTCGTTCCTCGGCCCAGGTGCACTATCCCAGACTGGGTATCAGTCGCCTGCCATTCGTGAATCATATTCTTGCCACCACAATCATGACTGGCTTTATTGTTTCCACCCCCGATTCATTTGTCTTTGGTTACTACTGGACTTGGTGGCCATGATGGTTAATGAATCACTGTCAATGACCTGCGAGGGACAGGTATGAATATCCCTTTCTGACACTGTTGCCAACTGCCACCAACTGCCCAGCACTGTCATCGAAACGTAGAGCAGGTGCTTTATTATTGTCTCCTAGCACTTCTGTTTCTTGCGGTGGGCTCTTTTCTCACCTCTCGCACCTGTCAATCCCTTCTATCTACCTCAACCCCGACCTTTCTTCATTCTCCTCGAAACTACAGATCTCGGTGAATGCATTCAGCCTTTCGGACGCAGTTGCTAGGTTGAATCGGTCCTCTCTGCATCGAGATACCTTCTACCGTCTTTTATCTGCTAGGTACTTTGCTTCCACCAAGACTTTTCTTGAACATTCACTCTTCCTCAAACCTGCATTGCAACCTTCACAGCCCTTTACCATCAGTAATTTCGAACGGCGAAGTGAGTATTTAAGTGTGCGGCGATGCTCGCCTAATTTCGTCGACTCTAGCACTCAGGCATTGCCGCCTCCTTTTTATTCCATTCCACAAACTTCATGTCTCCAAATGCACATCATAACGCTAACAGCCGCGCACTTCAGATTTTTGAAGCCAAACACTTGGTTTTTCACTTGCCCTTCTGCATCTTCATTCTTGCCTCTCTCTCACGGTTTTCTTATCATTTGCTCTCTGCTTACAACTTTAACCTTCGTGGTATTGATATCGCGCGAGACCTCATTATTCCTACGCCACAAACGCTGTGACAGTTAAACTCTAAGCGCTCCGGTTGACTTTCAATTTCACCACGAAGTAACCTACTCATTCCAACCATCCAGTGCGGAAACACAGTTGCGGTTCGCCGATCGTCTGTTATCTCATATCGAAGGTTTACAGGCAATATTACTGTGTGGTGAGTTTCTTATACCCAGCTGCAACACAACGTGGATGTGACAAACAGAGTTTCTTGAGCACTTTTCTAGCGTTTGATATGCAATAACTTGGAAAATGAGAACAGCCTACTGACAATACATCCGTTCTTAGTACCACGACTCTAAAATGTCGTATCACACCGGCCAGTTTCCGGGCCAATTCAATGCTCAGCAACCTCAGATGGCTCAAGGAAACTCTGCCTCCCACCACCCAGGCCCTCTCTCTTCCAACCCGCCTTTCGGGATCCCTTCTTTCCGGCCCCAGCCTGGCCGGCCCCAAAACCCTGCTGGTTCGCACAACCCCGAGTCTGCTTCTCTTGCAAGCTCCAACTTGTGGATGCCTTCAGCTCACCAGGCTCTTAACAACGCCCTCCAAGCGAGTGGGTTTGGCGAGGAACAAAATGGTATGGGAGCAATGATCGTGCTCCCCCCTAATGGTAATCCTGTGCCTAGTATTCTTGAACCGCCCGTTGCGCCCCCAAACAGTCCTGTACAGGGCATCCCTGGCATCGTCATCCCGTGCATGCCGCTCGGCACTGGTGCTCTGGCCCCTTAGATGGGAGGACAAGCTCAAAGTGTAGGCAACAACATGGTCAATGGTGGTGGCAATGGTGTTACCAACGATGTATTCAATAGCGCAGCCAGCGGACATGTTTCATCTACTACCAACAACGCGCAGTATTTTATCGCCAACGGTTCTTCTCAGCCGGTAGCAAATAACTTTCCTCAAGGAGTGGCTATCGTGGCGAACGGCGACAACCAAGCTCTTGGAAGATCTGGCATTACCAACCGACTCCCTCACGGGGCTCAACTCTATGTAAGTTTCAGGCCGTCTTTCAGGGTTTATGGATTGAGATGTCCTGGTCTTATTTAACACCGTCATGGACATCGCTGATATCAGGGAATTTTAGCCCAGTCGTCCTATTCAGAACACGAGTGCTCGCAGTGTCGAGCCGTCTGGCCTGATCTCACCTCCACACGGCCACAATTCGACTTCTCAAACTGGAAGCCACCACTCTACTCAATCAGATTCTGCTGGAGCTGCTCACCAGTTCTACACTCCTGTAGCGCCCTCTCAAAACCTAAACATGCCTAGCCTGCCTCAGAGTATCTCCTTCCACACTGGTTTGTCTCTGATGAGTCCTGGAAACACTCCGCACCATTTCAGTGGCGAACGCATGAGTGATTCACTGGCTACTCCCACCTCAGGCACCAACCATCATCTCACCGAGCCTCGTAACTACGCGCCCCGAACAGCTGGCCAGCCAGTTGACAGTTTGCCTCCTCCCCGCTTCAATTTGGACTTGCAGACAATTCCTAGCGCCTGTCCCACTTCACCCCGGGACCCATTTGGAAGCCCTGAGCGCGGTGAGGCAAGTGCCTTGATTCCATTCCCGAACATGCCCCCTCCTGCCATGCAGCAAGCCATGCTCACTGCTGCTATGGCAGTGCCATTCGCCGGTAACAAATCTCAAAGACTACACGAGCTAACGGGCACCTACTCTGGTCTCCCTACTCTGGAAACCGCCATGAGCTCTGCGTTCTTCCCATTCGTGAGCGGCGCTGGATCGACCAAGGCATCTACGGCTGGTGTTGTCCGTCTCAAGAATGTAGTCCTTTCACATCCTTCTACTACTGCTCTTATTCTAACCTTTATAGATACCATTTTCTACCAAGCGCTCCGAGGTCGTTGCCTTTATTGGTCGCAACAGTCGAATGTTGAGTGATGGTGAGGAGCCCATCCACATCATCATGGACCGAGCTACGTCCAAGACCATGGACGCCTTTGTCGAATTCATGACCATGGAGGATGCCATGCGATGTGCCGAAAAACATCACCAGTACACCCAGACTGGCCGTATCAGCCGTCTTGGTGAGCGTCCTGTTGAGGTTGAGTTGTCGAGTCAAGCTGCTCTGATGCAGGAACTTTTCCCTCTTGCTCGTGGTGTATTCTGGGACGGTGCCAATCCTCAGATCCTTCCCACCAACAACAAAGAGCCTTGGGCAAACTTCAAGGGTTTCATTTTCCCGGAAGAAATGGTTATGCTTGTCAAACATGTGGAAGTTCCTCATCGGTCTCCCTTTTCCAAAGAGTGTCCTCAACGCCCCTATGAGTGCCTCATCAGCACCCTGCGCAAGTTTCCTTGGTACGCCCTGGATCACATTACCATCATTCAACGTGGTGCCATGTACAAGGCTACAATCAAGCTTCTTCGCTTGCTTAGCCGATCAGTCTCGGGGCAGGATGACCCTGTCAACCTCACCACCCAGCTCTTCCAGCGTGTTATCCGAACTGCAATGGATTGCAAAGGCTTCACCGTCCTTCAGAAGGATAATATTGCGTTCATGGTCCAAATGCCCCCCATCGAGCAGCAGCGTCGTCATGGCCAGCCCTTTAATCCCACCTCTTGGGTTCATCAGTACGCCATCGGGCGCAAGCCAGACATTCCTCTTGATGTCGTTGACTGGTACATCCGCCTGATTCGTGAGCAGACGACTCGTGACGTCCTCATTCGTCCTATTCACGAGCGCACCTCGATCCAAGAGACGCTCAAGGACACTGACGACTACTGGGGCTACTTTTACCACGAGGTTAGCTATGTCCAGGGACCTCAGTTTGATGAAATGTCTCTGGGGAAGTGTGCCTACCTTGAGCTTTCTGCTATCGAGCGAATTCTCGGTCGCGCTCTCGGCTTTAACTGAGTGCTGAATAACGGTTGATGCAGTTTTACCCATCGGACTTCGACCGTTTCTTTTTTATCTTTCATTTCGGAGTTTTCTTTTCATCTCGGAATTTCGCTGCGTCTGTCAAGCGAGCAACAGAAACCTTTGGCTTTCCCCCAGATCCAGGGCCCCTCGAATACGGTCGTTGGGGCATCTCAGAGCACTACTTCATCGCACACTCGCATTTGGTACTCAGCATTTTGTCAACTCGCAAACCGGGACCAAGGCTAAAGAATCAAGGGAGGTGGGAGGAGGAAGTTGCAGCGTACTAATACGATGAACTTGGTGTCGGGGCGAGAATACAATACTGGGGAACACTGGCATGCATGGACGGTTTTGGTTGGGCTCGTTGCTTGTATTTTCTGATAGTCCTGCTTGCTATATGGGAAGATCAAAGAAATTGACTTGGGAACTTGAGATATGCATATGCAAGTGACGCGTGCTTTTCTGATTGTGGTTTATGTCAGATATCACGTATGATCTGGTTTTACGTGAGCTGCGTGCTGGTAGAAGCTGGTGGGGTGTGCATAACAATCCATCTATTAATTAATTAATCTTTGAACACTAAAATGAGTGCCAGGGTCCAACCACCCTCCATTACGGGTTCCTTACTGGTAGATGCCCTGTAGTACTGGAACCCCAGGTGAATTGACCTCTAGAACTCTCCTTGTCCCAAGTATGTGAGTTTAATTGTTGCCCAATCAAAAGATGCATTAAATGCTGCAACGGCAGTAATCTCCACTTGCCGAACATGCTCAGGTACCGTCCCATCCTAAAGTGAGGCCCGGGCTGGAATTGCACCTACAAACTCAGGTGCTCCGTACTGTCTCACTTAATAATAAGGTACCTGCCTATCCGTCCGTACACGTTTGCCCATTCTGTTTATCCATAAGTACTACCTAGATTACCTACCAACCTTGTCGGAGGACTCGCTTCATTTCTGAGAAACTCAAGTTATCAAAAGGAGTTTCATTTTCCCGTGTTTGTTTACTTTCCCCTCATAAACTGTACTGAACAACGTTCCCGTTGCCGTCTCGTTTAACTCTTGTACCAAAACAGTCCCTTTCAAGACCCACGTCAGACAAGACTCGTCAGGTCAAGTTCATAAACAAATATCTGGCCATCATTCGCATTGCATTATCCTCACTATCCTTTGCAACCAGCTACCTGGTATTCAAAACACGCCCGCAATCATGTCTGCTGAGCATGATAAAACAGCTGCCGCTTCGGCCCCTACAGAAGCCCCTGCAGCTCCTGCCGTTGTTGAGCCCACCGCTGAGGCGACCGCAGAAGTTACCACCGAGAAGCCTACTCAAGCCGGTGCCTCTGCTCCCGAGACCCCTCTAGCTAAACTCGATGGCCGTCTTAATGAAATCTGCAGCAAGGCACAACACAAGGAGATGTGGGGAGTGCAGCTGTCCAGCATCAGCCACATCCCTACGATGGTGGTTCTCCAAAAGTTCCTTCGAGCCAACAACGATGACCCCGTTGCTGCTGAGAAGCAGCTCACTCAGGCTCTCGAGTGGCGCAAGAAGATGAATCCTACTGCTTTCGTCACTCAGACCTTTGCCAAGGACAAGTTCGACGATCTGGGCTTTGTCACTGTGCACAATGGAGAGAACAACAAGGAGACCATTATTACATGGAATATATATGGTGCTGTCAAGGACAAAAAGGCCACATTTGGTAATGTCGAGGAGTGAGTGCCTGTCTTCTACCCAGGTAAAGACTTTGCTAACTTTGTGCCAGATTCATCAAGTGGCGTGCTGCCATCATGGAGATAAGTGTTCAGAAGCTCAAGCTGGAAAACGTCACAGAGCCCATTCCTGAAGGAGGCGAGGATCCTTATCAGATGATCCAAGTTCATGACTACCTCAACGTCAGCTTTTTCCGCGTCGATCCCGCTGTAAAGGCTGCCAGCAAAGAGACAATTTCCGTCTTCTCTATGGCCTACCCAGAGCTGCTTTCTCACAAATACTTTGTCAACGTTCCTGCCATCATGGGATGGATGTTTGGCGCCATGAAGCTCTTCCTCGCCCCTGCTACCCTTCGCAAATTCCATCCCATGACTTCCGGCACTACACTGTCTACAGAGTTGAAGAGCATTGCCTCTTCTTTACCTAAGGAATACGGTGGCCTTGGACCCAGCGTTAAGGAGGGTCAAACTGTTTTGCTAGCTGAGGCTGGTGGGACTGACGCAGCTTCTCCCAAATCTGCTGCGACCGAGCCCACTACCACTCCTGTAGCCGTTGACTCTGGCTCTGCTACTGAGAATGTTCCTGTCACCACCGAACCAACACCCGTTGCACATGGCTCTAGCTCTACTGCTGAGGATGTTCCTGTCACTAGTGAGCCGACTCCTGCTGTCCAGAACACCATCCTTGCCGAGCCTGTAGTGGCTTCTGAGCCAGCTGCCGTTGCGCCAACCTCTACTGCCGTGGAGACAGTTCCTGCCCCAATTCCTGCTCCAGTTGAGGCCGCCAAGGAAGAGACTGCTGAGGAGGCCGTTGAGCAAGCCGGTGAAAAGCCCATTGAAGAAGCTCTCGAGAAGTTGACTGTTGACCCAGCTGATGAGGCTGAGAAGAAGGAGGCGCCTGCTGCTGTCGCCGGAGTGGAGAAGAAGGAGAGCACTGCTTAGATAATATGGCCCAGAAAAGGAAAAACGAAACTCTGAAGTTGGAGACACTAAACAACCATGGGATTTAATACCACGAACAATACCCCCCCCCTTGGGTTGCTGAAAATGAGTTTGTTAGGTGGAGTATTGCTCTAGAAATATGGTATTCTTGAATAGATTCACAAATGAGACGTTGATTCCGTTCCCGGTGAGCATGCCCTATTGTATTGTTGTCGCATGAGTATATCCTGAAGTGTATTTGAGAGTGTCGAGAGCAAATGCTTACTTTCCATTACTTTGCAATACGAGGGTTGATGGAGCTCGGGCAACAATTACTATCAGTTCTACCTTAAGAACATTAGCCAGAGATAATAATCTACGATAGTGTATCAATGCCGTTAAGTGATATCGAGGCCTATAGTGCTGATTATGCCAGAGACTGAACTTACAACATTTGGTCTATGACTTATGAATGTAACAAAATCAATAATTCAACTGCTGCACGGAAAGATGATCTTGTCGGCTCCATGATGGCAGAATACATTGTACAAATGAAGTGGCACTAACGATGTGGTGGCAGGAGGATGCAGCCCTATTTTGCCTGGTGCTGTGCCCAACGAATCACACGTCATGTAGTGCATCGTGGACGTTTAATGAAAGTAACAGACTGCCTGTCGCCGAGGTTTTATATGTCTTATAAGACGCACAAAAAGTCAAAGGAAATGAACTGCTGCCACCTTGGAGAGGTAGCTGCGGCGCAGACGGAGGCTGATTAGATTTCAAGACGCTGATGCGCTCGACGATATCTCTGTTGATAGTCATGGTGGAGCTGTAGGGTAAAGAAATCGCCATAGTACACCAGAGAACAGGGAGGTAAGTATACGGTCCATGTCGAATATACTAGAATCGTCAGGATGTATGATTACCATGGTTGCGCTGGAGTTGCAGGGGACTGAAGCCCGAATAAGACCCCGTGATTTGATGATCTTCGGTTTACATATCTGAGCATCCATTGCAGACATCCCTGGAACTAATGATGTTAGATCAGTCTTGATAGTTAAAACGGTGTCGAGATTGTAAGAGACACTGGAGTATCTAGATCTAGTATCTTCGTTTATGCTGCTGCAAAGGAGTGTCATTCGACGACGGAGAAGATGCCAAAAGGCAACAGGCCCAGTCACTGTTGTGATGATGCAAAATATGCTTCAAATATTTTGGTTCGATTTCCAACAGTAGCAATTCACTTTGTAACTCGCATATATGACTGTGGATTCGTGAGTATGACTCTCTGGTGGATAGTTGGCTGTTCGGCTGTCCGTGAGAACCTCAGTACCCGCCCTTTTCGGAGGTGACTCGCGTTCTGGCCCCTGAGCAATGCAACATAACTCACCAGAAACTTGTAGAACTTTAGCCTTCTTTTTCTGGCAACGGATACAATTATTTCGTGGAACATGAGCATTGCTTCTTTGTTCGATGATCAAGTCTGTGCGGGCAAATGCTACTTTGGGCTCCATGGTAGCCGAGTGGTTGGTGAACGAGGGAGGCTATCTTGGGTCACGCAGCCAGCGAAACTGTAAAGTCGCCCAACGATATATAATATCTATATTCAAATGCCCTTTCTTTTGGATTTATGTGACATATCGTTCTCTATCTCATTTTCGAAATGTAGTGATATCTGACTCAGATATCATCAAGGCGCCAAGTGGCAAAGCAGGCACGAGGTTGAGAGACATTGGAGAAGGAACCTGTAACTCGAACAATGTAGAGTCTGAATAAGTGCAGTTGCATTTTAAATATTGCCACAAGAACGGATGAGATTTTTTCAACGCCATGGATGGTTTTACGAACATATTGCATTTATTGTGACCAAAGTAGAGTTGCGCATCTCGTCTCAGGCGGTCCATATGGTTTCGGTCTAGGAACCTCGCGTTCACCTACCTTGCCTTACCTCGAAAATCAGCCAGTCGGCCAGCCATGCTCATCCTCGCATCCAATTGATGATTGTACTCCTCCCTGCCTCAGCTCAGCTCAGCCTAGGTAGGTAGGCCTAAGGGGCGAACAAACCAGACTCCCTTGTTTCTCCTCCAACCTCCAAATTCTCTCATCCTCCTAACAACTAAATCTCGACTGTACTGCCGAGAGACATAGAGGCAGGGCATATTGTGTGTATTACACTCACGCATGAGACTCTGTTCTCCACTGTTGGACTCTCTACAACATTTTCACTTTCACTTCTTCTTTTTTTTTTTAACTCCTCATAACCCCCTCCTATTCTTTCGTGCTATTATATGTCACGTATTGACCTGGCCCGGCCACTCATCCCACTTTTTCCTTTCATCAATCAACCAAACGACGCGACCAAGGGCCAACAACAGTTTTGTTTAACTCATCTTTAAACATCCCGACTCGACTCTTGTTGTTTACTTGCATCGCTAATACGCGTTTTCTTGATCGTCCAAAACTAATTCACACTCCCGTCACGTCTATTGAACAAGGTACATATATATTTCTCTTCTTCCTTTATCCATGTCATATCTCAATATCTTCTTCCTTACACCAACCTCGCACGCCAACTTGACACTCTCTCCGCATTCTCTTTCTGATCGCCAAATCCGATCCTTCCTTACTCCTCTTTTTTCGGCTGCTATCCTTCCTACCTTCCCAAATATTAGAGTACGTACCAAGCCTCTTTCCGGGCGGTCTTCGACCTTGACCTGGGTCTTCTTGCCTGCCCTGGACCAGTCTAGGTTGGACTGGCGCGCGCGGGGGGGGAAGCACCATCCACTCGCACTTGACCTTAGTCGCCCACTCTCTCCTTCCCGATCCCACTCTCATCTCTGAGCGCGCCGCGTTTGCTTCTCAACTCCATTTACCTCTTTACACCCTCTATCCTTTGCTTTCTACCTTTTTCTCTCCTAGAACTCTATCAATCCTGAATTTTCATGTTATTTCTCTCTCTTTTCAACTTTTAATAAGTTCGGGATTTTTTTTTCACGCTTTTCTCCCCAGTCAAACCCGAATGACTTTCTGTTTCTGAACATTTCGCGTCAAAGCAGTATACTACATCCGAGGCGACCTCTTATCCTGCCAACATGGCACTCGTCTTGACCTCCGAGGGCGCCTTTGAGGTAGGCGTCACGGACGATTCCTCCTCTAATGTCGCGTCAACAACTTCTACGCCTCCTACTACCGTTGCCGATGAAGCCAGTCTTCACTCCGAATCGCCTAAGCGCGATGTTGTTCATGTTGCACTCGACCTCGAGTCTCCTGAAGTCACGCTTACTATATCCGACCCGATCGAGCCTTCAGACTCCGTCAGCACTGCCGATCCGCCGCCACCTGCTCCAACACGCTCTCGCCGCAACCGCGTGAGCGCTCCTATATATAATTTGGTTCAATTGAGTGGTACAGCCGGCCACGGAAAGCGACGCGCCAAAGGTGATATTGTAGCGGATCGACGACGAAGAAGACGAACTGTTTCTGGTCCAGTCTTCCCTGGTGACGGCTCAGCACCTTCTAGCCCTGCTCAGGGTGCGACACCCGAAACAGTCCGAAGTGGCATTGACGCGCTAGGGGTCACACGGTCAGCCAGCAAACTCGATTCGCCGCGCACTCGTCGCCAAAGGATCTCGGAGGAGGACTTGCCAAACAGGCGTCCTTCAACGCGTCGTTCCAGTACCGTTACACCTGCCGCAGCTACGCCCGTCAACAAAAAGTCAAAGGTCACTAAACGGAGTCGCAAATCTATGGACGCCGAAACGCCGCTGTCACGCGAGCTTAGACGCCTGCAGGACACAAAGGAGTTCTCCCATATTGACGAAAAGCCTGTGATTCAGAGCGTTTGGTCTAATGGGAAATTCGTCGATCCTAAAGCTCCCGTGCCACCACCAAGAAAGAAGGCTGAACCCGAGCCAGTCACCGAAGAGCCCAAGGAAGCCGAGCCCGAACCTATGAATAGATTGAGGAATCGCAGACCCAAGAAGTATCTTGTCAAGGGTCTTTATGCGGGCCAGGATGCCCCCACCGATATTTTTAAGGGACTGTCTGTAGCGGACAAAAAGAACCTTGGCCAGCTGCCTGGGCTTATCCCCAGCGCTCGGGTTAACAAGACCATGCCCCTGCCTATCTTCAATGGCCTGCGCACGCTTATCGACGGTCGCGATTTCAAGCTCCCCTATCAAGTCTGCCATCCTCTTCCTCCAGGTCAACCCAAGCCTGATGAGTGGAAGAAGATGACGAAGAGTAAGTTTGGTGCCGAAATTCCAATGCTGGTACTAACATGTTCTAGATCGCTTTATTGGCGAATCCAAAGACTACTGGCGAAAATCGCCTCTTTTCCATGACTATTCTTCAAAGTGCGTCTGCAAGCCAGAGGATGGTTGTGGCGAAAGTTGTCAAAACAGAATTATGCTGTATGAATGTGATGAGCAGAATTGCAACGCTGGCAAGAAGTACTGCACCAACCGTGCGTTCGCCAATTTGACAGCACGAAGAAACCGGGGCGGAAAGTATCGAGTTGGTGTTGAGGTGATCAAGACCTCTGACCGTGGATATGGTGTACGAAGCAACCGATGCTTCAGACCTAACCAAATCATCATGGAGTACGCTGGTGAAATCATTACTGAGGAGGAGTGTGAACGCCGCATGACAGAGGTCTATAAAGACAACGAGGTGAGTTCCAAAATCGTTCGTTGATCCTGATTGGTCAATCATATTAACTAGCCAAAGTGCTACTATCTTATGAGTTTTGATCAAAACATGATCATAGACGCCACTACAGGAAGCATCGCACGTTTCGTGAATCACAGCTGCAACCCCAACTGCAGAATGATTAAATGGATCGTTTCCGGACAGCCGCGAATGGCCCTGTTTGCTGGCGACAAACCCATTATGACAGGTGATGAACTGACCTACGATTACAATTTTGACCCATTTTCGGCGAAGAATGTTCAGAAGTGCCTCTGCGGTGAGCCTAACTGCCGCGGTGTCCTCGGCCCAAAGCCGCGTGAAGTCAAGCAACC